TACAAATTATATTCAGCCACAAAATAAGTCTGAAAAGCTGCAAATCAGATCAGAAGTACAGAGAGTTGTTGGCTAGAGATGATACACCGTCTCATGGTGGTGGCTTGGTGTGAAGCAGCAGGTTTTTAGAACGTTGCCTGTAGTTGTCTGTTTCAACCCGTCTCATCGTGAATCTTTGGTCTGAACTGGGCTTCACACATCCAACATGCTAACACACATTCGACGGCATCGCTCAGATGTGCCGATGAGCAAGATGTTGAATGCTTAGGTGCTTTGAATGTTGAGATAAAGCCAAGGTGGAGCTCTTTTTATTATCCTATGTATTTTGGTATTTTCAGTTTAATATCACAACAGATGTTTTTCAGTTTTACAACCTGTTGTGACCTGTTGCCTTTTGGGAAAGTGTTTGTTTAGTGTTCGTACGTGTGATACACAAGTGTTTGACATGTTCTTTATTTTTATAATGAAAATAGTTTACCAAAGTTGCCGGCGGGCAAAATGTTCCCTTAGTCCCCAGCAGGAGGATTGTTTCTGTGTTTGACACTTGTTCTGCTGTTCAGAGGAAATGAAAAGAAATCCTCATGCGTTTGTTTTTGTTTTTTGTTCCCGCTGTACCAAACATGCACTGAACCGTGACTCATGTGTCCCGTCACACCTCTGCTCTCTTCGCCTGTGAGTGTGTTTTTTTAGCAGCTTTTAACACCTTTGTTTTCAGCTGTGGTTTAAAAACACTTTGTGCAGCCTAATTTCTTTGAAGCAAACTGAACTGTTATAGTGCTGGATCTGATACTCCAGTGCACAACATGCAAGCCATGAGGAGTTTTTGAGGTCATTGTTGTTTGTGTGTCCATCACATGCTCTGTGATGATGTCCAGCATCACATGTATAATGCTGCTGCTGCTGCTGTAGATGTTGTTGTGAGAGGGAAAACAGAAGCATGTTGAGTCTCAGGGTTGTATTGAACTGTCTGTTACAAAAGGACTGTTTGTCTGTGACTCTGTGTGTGTGTGTGTGTTGTGTTTTGTACAAGAGGTTAAATGAAAAATACACCAGACGAGTCACTCATCAAACATGACACGGCTTTGATTATGATGATAGTTGTTTCAGATGATCTTTTGTTAAAACAGCCGCCCTCTGCTTCGGTCGGAGCGCACAGCTGCTGTCTTTGTTCAGACTGTGTTTCAGGGACATTTTGTCTACAAACATAAAATCTCTTAAATACACCCACACTCCTCGTCTTTGACTAGACCCATACAAGCCCGTCTAGTCAGCGCGGTTTATTAGTCAGCTGGGATTTTTACAGACAGAGCTCTTGTGTCTGTCGTCCTTCAATCAGAGAGATGAGAAAACAGTTCCTTCTTGTTAAATGTTCGATGTCGAGAAGAAAAAGAACAAAACAGAAAAAGTGGTATTGACGCGCTGACGCCAAACGAAACCAAACAGAGGGAGATAGCTGAGGACAACTGCTTTGTTTTTAACCAATCTCAGTGGAAAAACACCAAAGTTTTAACCACATTTTGTCTCCACACACCAAATATAGCTGCAGTTCCGCCACATAATACAGTTTACAGTAAACAAGGTCCTCCAGAGCTCCAGAGATGGAAATAAAAGAAGATGCAACTGAGCTGCTGATTCACAGATCCTCAAAGTAACAAAGCAAACTGTGTAACTGCAGTGTAAGAAATCTTTTATAATCAGATTTTAGCACAATATTTTTCATATATCTGAAAGCTCCTCCACATGTGGGTGTTTTTTTGTGTGTATAATCAGTTCGTAGGTCAACACATTTTTCAGACTGCTGTTTTGAGTATTTTCACATAGAGTGTGACTAGTAGAGGTTGATTTTTCTGAGCTTTAGCACCATGAATAAAGGCATCAGCCAATCATGGTGTTTGAAATAACAACAACACAGAGATAAAAAAAACAACAACAACAGTGTTAAAGTCCATGGTACAGGCAAGCATGTCCAAAAATGCATCCGAGGCACTCTGACTATAATTAAAAATGCTTTATTAATACATGGATAAACCAGTGCGTTTCCATTAGAGAGTCTTCATCAGGGTGTAAAATGGATTGGAAACAGGAGGATCATGTGACACAGCTTACATGATATATAGGTGTAGCCCTACTAGACAAAAAAACATGTTGTCAGAAATTGCAAATGAAAATGAATTAAATGTATACTGTAAATAATCGACATATATAGTAACAAGAAAAAAGGTTCAAAGACAAATAAACAGAAAAGAAACGATTTAAATAAAATAAGAATCATTATTACTAGTCCATAGCCATTGGTAGCTTTGTCACCTTCTACTTATGCCAATCCTCAATGCCTATGTGCAGTTTCACATAGATTGACCACGTCAGTGAGTAGAAAAACGTGGGACAGACAGAATGACTGACTGACAGAATGACACACTGACAGTTTCCGTGATTATGTACAGCATACCATACCATGACTTAGTCATACCAAACATTAGAAAAAAACACCAACATTGGTCCACAGGGGGAGCCACAGCGATCGGTCGCATTTTAGCCATTTTGAAGCATTTTTCTGTTGTTATAGCGCCACCCAGTTGCCAATTAGAGTTAAATTTCTCCAGTCACCTTGAGGCGTCCTGTTCTACATATCTACCAAGTTTAGTAAAAATCCATATGGCGGTTAGGCCTAGATAAGAAATGAGCTCTCTAGCGCCCCCATTTTGTTTGATGGGGTCAATAATGGAGGGGTCCCCTCAGATTATGTGTGGTCATATGCCTACAAAGTTGCGTGGTGATGGGTGAAACCCTTGAGATGTTATACACCTTTATGTGATGAGCCACGCCCTCCGCAATATTCATTGCCTTATAGAAGCTCAGTTTTAGTAAGTTTTCCAACTTTTGCCAAGAGGGAACTTTAGATATTGGTCCCTAGATTATGTTCACCCAGTTTCATGCAGATCGCTCAAACTTCCTAGGAAGAGATCCATTTGAAGTGTTTTTCAAAAAATTCAAAATGGCGGAAAATCTATATAAGCGGAAGTTATGGGTTCTTGAGGCAAATGTGTTCCTCATGAGGAGAGGCATCTCTGTGCAAAGTTTCATGTCTCTACGACATACGGGGCATGAGATATGCCCATTCAAAGTTTGCCATTTCAATCGGTTGCTATAGCGCCCCCCTTTGGCCAATTGATGTAATATCGCTTCACTGGCATCCTCCCATGACCCTCTACCACTGTGCCAAATTTCACATGGATTGACCAAGTCAGTGAGGAGAAAAACGTGGAACAGACACACACACACACACACACACACAGAGGTTTCATCATTATATAATAAGATAACTCAAGATAACTGACAAAAGGATTTAACAGTGGGGATGAATGGGGCGTCGGTGGCTTAGTGGATGTACAAGGCTGTTGCCGCAGCGGCCCAGGTTTGAGTCCAGCCTGTGGCCCTTTGCTGCATGTCATCCCCTCTCTCTCTCTCTCTCTCTCTCTCTCCCCCTTTCATACTTGGCTGTCCTGTCCATTAAAGGCAAAATGCCCTAAAAATATCTTCCATATATATCTACAGTGGGAATGAAGTCAAACCTAAATATTCAAAGGCAGGAAAACGTCATAGGGCTACAAAGGATCATCCCCTGTAATTTGTGTATATAAAAACATGGCATCAGTAATATTGCACACCTAAAAGAGAGTGTATAAAACACTCATGGGTTCACCCTCACTAATACTAGTTCAAAAACACGACAAGGTGACATCACTACATATTATAGCAGCAGTGTTCCTCACGCAATTCCGAGCTACGAAATCAGATATCAGTCTCCTGTATGAGGCCTGGAAACAACACGGAGACTCCGAAGTCAGAACCAAGAGGGCAAACTTTATTACTCCTTTCAACCTTAACCAAGGCTCCGTGTCCAGGTCCATTTCTTCTGTTCTTACCTTTCACAATAAAAGCCCGAGATATATATACACTGTGTAACTGTTTACCAGAGGGAACGCAAATTCACTTCAGACAGACTGCCTGACGCTCTGGGTCTATATCTATAGTAGTTGGTCCTCTGCCTCCTCCAATGAGGTGCTACCTTTCCTAGAAGGATCTATAACTCTCAGAATTTATTTCTGAATAAAAAGATGGTGAAAATCTGTTCAAAATTGTCACTAAGCAAGTGTTGCAGTCATCTCAAATTAGCATCGCTGCCAGTATTAACAGTTTTGATGTGACATTCTATAACAACAGTATATAGGGCGGCACGTCTCACAGCAAGAGGGTTTCTGATTTGAACCCAGGGTGGAGGAGCCCCTCTGTGTGGATTTCGCATGTTCTCCCCGTGTCAGCGTGGGTTTCCTCCAGGTGCTCCAGCTTCCTCCCACGGTCCAAAGACATGCAGGTTAACTGGTGATTGATCAGACGGGGACATTATTAACTTTTTGGCCTCATCACAGCGACAAAACTTTGTCCAAAAACTGAATAAATTGTGCATCTTTGTGTTGCTGTAGCATAACCTTTCGTGACATTATATCTGATTAAATTAAACAAAGTAGATGATAATTTTGGGGCGGTACGGTGTTGCAGTGGTTAGCACTGTCATCTCACAGCAAGATGGTGTCAGGTTCGAACACCCCCTGTGTGGAGTTTGCATGTTCTCACTGTGGCAGCGTGGTTTCCTCCCACAGTCTGTAGGTGTGAATGTAAACGTGGATGGTTTAGTGACCTGTACACAACGGGATATGACCGGTATTTGCAATCAACAAATCCTCCAGAAAGTCACAACTATTTTAGCTTCTTCTGGAGGTGAACATTCTCTGTTGCCGTTGAGTGTAGAAACCCATCCCACATTTAACAGAGGCTTAAATTGATCAATAATCGTTGAAAAACAAACGTCAATATCACAAAAGCGCAGCCATGACTGGCTTTGTCTCATCTGACGAACTTGTTGATCAATCAGCTGTTATCGAGGCGTCACTGATCATCTGTGTTTCTCCGCCTGACTGACTTTTATCTTTTGGTTTCAGCTCTACGATAAGATCAACACAAAGTCGTCACCGCAGATCAGAAACCCCCCCAGCGATGCCGTGCAGAGAGCCAAAGAGGTGAACACACACACTCACACACACACTTTGCATACAACAGTTAGCATTCACACGAGCACACTTCCTGTTTGTCCCGTTCTTCTTCATGTGATGTGTGTGTGATCATGATTTGAATGGCAGACTCACTAGTCGCTGGCTTCCCTCTCTGAACTCACACTTGTGTCTGAATTAATCCCTCCTCTCGCCTCTGGCTCACTTAAGCTCTAACTCGTCTCTGCTGTGGATCAGTCTGCTCTCCTGCTCTGTTTCCTCTGTGTGACGTCGGCGCCGGGCACAAACACGTGTGTCCTGGGAGGCATCGGTGTAAAAACGGGAAACACTCCATCTTTAACGTCATCCTTCAAAGAGAATCTCACTTTAATAAACTTGTTGGAATATCAAAAAAACCCTTCATCTGAAATGTGACGGTGGAATTTAAGGGTGTGTTTGATGAAACCTCGACCTCACACTGCTCATATATTATAACTAGGCCGCTCCCTTACGGCGAATACAGCTCTGTAACACGGCGGACATTTGTCACGTCCTGCTCTTTTGCTGAAACACAGTTAATATTGGATCAATGTAACCCAGAGCTGTCACCAGAAAACCTCATTTCTGTGAAGCGAAGGTTTAAAAGGTCATTTATGCCATTTGAGAAAGTTTTATGACGCTCGGGACCATGAGAGCAATTTAATAAGTAATTTTCCAATTTTGAATGTGATGGGTCGGGGCGCTGGTAAAAATCAGTTTAGTCAGTTTCTGAAATATTGACCTTAAAGACGACGCTGCAGAGAGCTCAGATTTTGCTTTTTGCAGCTTTGCAGCCCACAGTGATGATTTATATTCCAGCGTCAGATTTCACATGTTGAGAGCTTTAACTTACTTTCTCTCATTCAATTTGTGATACAGAGGAATAAAGTCAAGGCTGCTCATGTTCACTGAGTCACTGTGATGGTGAGTGATGCAGGTTTGCAGCCTTCGTAGATGTGTGCTACTGAAAAGGCGATAGCCGAGACGATGACTGCTTTCAACTTGCGTCATGTTTTCTTTATGATGAACAAACTCCACCACCTTCAGAAACTTGTAGGAGAAAACACGAGCAGTCCACGCTGACCAATCACTGTTATAGCAGTCTCCAAAGCCCCATTTCTACCGAGCAGTCCGGTTCAGTTCAGCTCAGCTCGGTACACTTTTTTTTCTGTTCCCACTGTGAAAAGTTGTGGATGGTACCAACAGAACCGTTCCGTACCGTCCCCATGTTTGGTCCCCCCTCTGTTGGTGGAAACGGAGTTCAGTATCTCCTCAGTAGAGGGTTTCAAGGGAGTGGATTTTCACTCCTGTATCATCCCGCTCCAACAAAAAACTCCTCTCTCGTCCCAGTCCCAGAAGAATGACTCCTGTTCCTGCGTTTATTCAAGTTAAGATCATTCTTTTTCTTGTCAGAACTATTTAAATATAAAAACTGCTCTGTTGTTTTTAGCCCGTTTTACACAGAGATCCCACAAACCAAAAAACGCCAGCATAATGCCACCTCAGTGTATGATTGTAGACAGCCGGCGTTCCAGGAGCAGAGAGGTGTGACAGGCTTGTGATACCCTCCTGTCCTGCTCACATGATGAACAGTGAAATTGCCTCCCATCCTGTGGGAATCCTGTGACCTAAAGGATTCCTGAAAAATGTCAGCCTCTACTCCGTAGCCTCCATAACTTCATGTACAGTTACATTCTTGAGGAGTCAGTCAGTCACTTATCTCTTTTTCACACAACTAAAAATCCAGCTTTCCTGGAACTGTCAGTCTGTTACCTTTATAATCAAAGTTAGTCTTTCATGCATCCATCTTTATCCTCCTGAGACCCTGTGTCCTCATATAAGGACAATACATTTTGGGGTTACTTGACCTGGGATACTTCCTTCTGCTTAACTTGTGCCGTGTAGTGGCAGTAAGAGCACAATACTCTAAAACTAGACGGACTGTTTATTTTTGATTAATAATGTTTGTAGTTTAGTGTGCCATACAAATTTGACCGATTTTAGTACTGTTGATTAGAAAGTACTTGTTTGCAAACATTGGAAAATTTGTATAGACTGCGAGTTCTGTTTCATTTCCTATCTAGCCTTTTTTATAGTGACCCCCACAGTGCTGCTTTGTTTCATGAGATAAAAACAGATATTGATTTTGTAACTGTGGAAGATGCACAAAGACTGAGATATGTGTTTACATATCAAACATATAAATAAACCAGTTATCTGTAGAAATGCCTCTGTGCATGCAAGACCGGAAGATGTTATGCAAAGTAATTGTGTCTTGTAATCTCCTGTGGGATGGGCCAAATGATTTGGCGTGACACAGACATAAACAAAATAATGAATAAATGTCTAGCACTTTTCAAGCGGGGAGCACAAAGTGCTTTCCATCGAAAACATAAAAAGAAACAAATACAGACAGAAAATTTAAAGAGCAGCAAAATAAAAGCACACAGTTAAAAGACATAAATAAATAAAATAAGTCATCCAACAACTGAAACTATTAAAATAACCCTAAAATCAGGTGTTTTCACAACAGAGCTGGAAGAGTTGGTGTCAGGCACCAAGGCAAGTCTGTAAACCCTGTGAAGGACAGGATTTAACGGGACAGTTCGGATCTTCAGACAGTATATTACATAGAGTGATGTCAGTCAGCACGCCCTCAGTTTGGAGAAGCAGGTGTGAGTCTGATATGGAAGCTCAGCAATGTGCTGCTGTGGAGAGGTCAGCAACAAATTGTCCCACCTAACTTAATAAATAAATATCAGTTTAAGTGTACACTATATTGAGATTATTCTCACCACTTAACCTCTCCATCAGACAGCCCAAGCCAACAGGGAAGTCATCAACAGCCTCAGTTCCCCATCTATGCTCTCATCAAAGCCAGACTCCATTGACCACAACAGTCATTTTAGCTCCCTGAACACAGGAGCTGCTGATCTACTGCTGCTTCGATCAGTTAGTTAGTTTGTGTTTTTGTGTGACTTTGGTGAATCTGAACTAACCCCTCTAAACGCCAAAGACACACAATAACACAAACTAAATAACTGGCCGAGGCAGCAGTCGACCAGCAGCTCCTGTGAACAGCTATGTTAAATCACAGAGCGATATAACAGCTTCATTTTCCTGCTTGAAATCACTGTCCAACAGCAAGGTAAAGCGGTGAAAATATATTTTAAATATTGCATACACTTAAACTGATACTGATTTTTTTTAGGTGGCTAAATTTGTTTTGTTGCTGACCCCTCCACAGCAGCGCATTGCTTTGCTTCCATGTTAGACGCTTAGCCTGCTTTTTGAATCATGGGGCGTGCAGACTAGTGCTGCAACTAACGATTATTTTCATTGTCGACTAATCTGTCGATTATTTCTTCGATTAGTCGACTAATCATTTTATCGAAAAATGTGTTAAAATGTTGAAAAATGTCGGTCTGTCTCTCCCAAACCCCAAAATGATGTCATCTAATGTCTTGTTTCGTACTCACGCCAAAGGGTTTTAGTTCACTCAAACTGACTCAAACCGATTAATCAACTACTGAAATAGTCACCAATTATTTTAATAGTCGATTAGTCCTAGCCAAATGCTGACTTACGTCTACTGTATGTAATACACTGTCTCACCTTATACAACCCCACTGCAAAAAAAAAAATCTGAACTGTCTCTTTAAAAACAGAAGCATAGTAGAGTTAAAGTGGCACACAAAGAGGATACTCAAACACAAGTACAAGAAGTAAAACTAGAGCAACTGTAGGAAGTGATACGAAGATGTAAACTCCACAAACACAAGGAGAAAAGGTCAGCTCTTCCTGATTTGTTTTACAGCTGCACAGAAATTATATTGACTCAAAATTAGAGAGAGATTGAATCATTCAATTATTCATGTGGAGTTATTGAGTCCTCTGTGAGCTTCCTCTCAAACTCCAGTGACCTCCTGAGGTTTGTGTGCTCCCGATCAGACTCGCTGTGACTCGGGCTGATTGTCGGAGCAGCTGTATCACAGCCCAGTGGCCTGTTTACACAGAGCTGCTTTAATAAAGAGCTCTGGCTTCTGTGTGTGACCTTCCTCATTAGAAATGCACACACACGCACACACACACACACACACCAACAGTGTGTTTGTGGGCTATTAGTGTGGTTTTTCTTTCTTTACAGAGAGTTGCATTATGGTCTCCGGGGTCTGACCCTGGCTGTGATGACTTCACACACACACACTGTTAGTTTGGGTTGATGTGTTTACCTCTCAGTGTAAACACTCGAGCAGAATGCAGGCTGGAGCTTAACAAGGAGTGTGTGTGAGAAATGAAAAGTGTGTGAGTGTATCTGTGTGTGCAGGTAGACAAAATGCTACCGTGTTTACGTTGTGTGCTTTGTTGAGGGGAGCAATTAAAAAGTCTGAAGAGTGAGGCAATGGGTGAGGGCTGGCGTCTCAATAAAAGCATTTAGGGGAGGCGAGCTCTGTTTTATGTGGCTTTTGGTTCATGTCAAAGAGACCTGGCTAATTAACACAGCTCTGTGTACACTGTGTCCGAGCAGCTCTGCTTATAGAGTCAGCTTCACATTTTCCTACTTAAATCAGTCTGGATGGATCAAGAGTTGCAGATGGAGCCGCAACAGATGTGACGCTGTCTGTGCGAGTGTGAGGGAGTTAAGACTTTTTTAATCCGCCGTGTCTTTTATTAGTTTTCTGGCTACAGAGAAGAAACGCCACTTCAGCATCACAAACACACTAAACTCTGCTTATAACCAGACTCACTGTGTTTTCAAAGCATCTCAGAGTCGACGTTTTTTGTCCTGGCCAGCTTGAAACTCTTGGCATGATGCATGCTTGTTTCCGAAATGATTTTATCGTCTTTTTATAGGCATGAAAGTAATGCTATCTGCTCCGGGGTTTAGGAGAGTTCAGATTTGTCTTCAGCTCTCAGGAGTTCCCAGCAGATGGCGAATGATAGGAGGAATGAACACACAGTCTGGGAGACGTGTGAATACAGAAAGCAGAACTTTTTGACTGCAGTGGTGTCACTCATTATAAAAAACTGTGTCCACTCTGCATAGAAATTAAGTTTATTTGGATCCACATCAGTTCCTCTAATTTATGCTTCACGGGCTAAAAGGAAATAAAACAGTGACAGGAGCAGAAGCTTTCTCACAGCACTGACTGTCTTTGCTGCACCTTGAATGATTATTGATTTACAGGAATACCTCAGCTCCTAAATTGTATTTATCCTTATTAATTTATAATTTATACATTACAGTAATTGAGCTCCTTCTCAAATAAACAAAAGAAAAATGAAAGTGTCAATCTTTTCAACAGCGACTGTACGTCCCTCCCGCCTCACAATCCCAACTTCTCCAATAACAAAAACAAGCAAAACTATAAAAGATATGACAGTAATTTAAATACTTAAACATACAGACATTCTTACTAACATGCATAGAATTACCATAATAAATGATAAAGAGGAGTAAAGTAAAAGAAGTAACTAAAATGCTGCAGTGATGCAGGCGCTGCACCGGACCATCGTAGTGAAGAGGGAGCTCAATCAGAAGGCAAAGCTTTGGATCTACTGGTCCATGTACGTCCCAACTCTCACCTATGGTCATGAGCTCTGGGTAGTGACCGGAAGAATGAGGTTGTGGATACAAGTGGCCGAAATGAGTTTCCTCCTTGGAGTGTCTGGGCTCAACCTTAGAGATAGGGGGAGGAGCTCAGACATCCAGAGGGAGCTCGGAGTAGAGCCACTGCTCCTTCATGTCAAAAGGGGTCAGCTGAGGTGGTTTGGGCATCGAATCAGTATCTTCCTGGACGCCTCCTGTTTGAGGTGTTGGTAGGAGGCCCCAGGGCAGACCCAGAACACACTGGAGGACCTGGGAACACCTCGGGGTCCCTCAGGAGGAGCTGGAAAGTGTTGCTGGGGAGAGGGACGTCTCTTGGCCTGCTGCTCCTGCAACCCGGCTTTGGATAAACAGATGAAAATGGATGGATGGCTTAAAAAAAATTAATTAACATTAGGGGGAAAATACTTAAAGGTTTTTTTTTTTTTTGTTGTTGTTTTTTTTAATCGATCCAGAAAAAAACTCTTAAGATTATAAAGCTCTTTTTCAAGAGTGTCCTGGACAAGGTAGGCAGAAGGATACAGTTACAGACAGACAATCAGAGGTGGATAAGGTCCACCATGCTATTACTTCTCAACTCAAAGTACAGATACTCCTGGTCAAATATTTCTCCAATACGAGTGAAAGTTGCTCAAATTATTACTTGAGTTAAAGTACTGGAGTACTGATGACAGAACCTGATAACTCTGAAACAACCACTGAATGCACTGATGTGCTCGTAGAGTGAAAAGCTTGTTGAATACTCTGCAAAGCGGATAGAGATACCCACACAAACACAAAGTGACAAAAGGACAAAAGGAAGAATCTTCATCTACATCTGCTGCTGTAGTCACCATAGTAACCGCTCTACCTATCTCTGCTGATAAGCTCAGCAATCTGAGTAGCACATGTGCGAGGTAGAGGTATGGGAACACCACTTGGACAAACTATGCAGAACTGTATGATTACAGTTTATGGACTTGTGGATTTTAGAAAGAGGATAAGATCATCCATTGACTTCAAAGCAAATGTAACGAGTAACGAGAGCCGTCATAGAAATGTAAAGGAGTCAAGTAATAAGTTTCCAACATCATATTATCACATCATATCAAAATGTATTTTAAAGGCTGGTTTTAGTCAAACTGACACAATAAATCCATTTTCTCTGATGTCATATAAACATAGAGTTATACTGGATTTACCTTCTGTTAATGTTCTTGTTCATACTGGACGAAATCCTCAGATCACTCCTTATAGTGTAAAAATATATTGCACAGTTTATCAGAGGTTAATTTGAGGCTTCAGCCACCGGAGATTAAAATCTAATTTTCCAAAGTGTACACTCTTTAAAGTACAAAATTCTCCCTTTTTCTTATTATTATCCCTCTGCTGCAACCCAACAAGGAAACACAAAAGGGAATTCTGCACTGAAAAGATGAGACTCAGGCTGACCTGATGTGAACTTCAGATAAACTTCTGAATACATTTTAGCACAAAACCAGGGCTGTGGATTTTGTACTCCATTACTTTGATTAAAACTGAATTATTAAAGGATCTTTTAATGGCTAGAATGAGCAGGAGAAATGATTACAGCCTTGAACTCTGCACCTTTTCTTTAATGCTCCAATTCTACACATATTCATTAAGGTACCAGTGATTTAAAGGATTGTGTGCACATTTTGGCTTCGTTTTATTCGCCACAGATAAAGAGCAGTTTAATCTATCTCACAAAATCTGTATGTAATGGGTTATAGATTTGTGCTCCGTAGTTGACCCACTTTTATCCTGACATTAGAATAATATACTGAATGTGCCAAAGCTTCACCTGCAGCAAATTAAACTGATTTCATCTGAAGCATGTTCACATTTAATCTGTAGTGCTTTTTATCGAAGCTTCAAACTAGGGCTGCCCCCGACTAAGAATATTCCTAGTCGACCAGTAGTCATCATTTAGGGCCATCAGTCGACTAGTCTGTTTCTGATATGAATGTAATGATTATGTAATGATTAATTATATATATTGTGCACGTCACACACTGAGCGAGCCGCCTGTTAATGACGCTGTGGGCTAATGGGCATGTAGCTACTTCCATGTTTCAGATGATACGTCATGTTTGTAGTCGACCAATGAAGATGAGTTTACATATCACCTTGGGTTCGTCCTTCACCTTCTCAAAATGATCCCACACTTTGGATTTCCTGCCCGACATGTTATTAACTAGCCTGTGGAATAACCGCAGGTACCAGCCCTGGAGATTAACCTGACTCCTGTCTGACTGCTGAGCGTGGACACTTCCTGTGTCTGTCCTTTCAAATTAAAGTCGCACATGGTCCAGTCACATAGGTTTGGATTTATTTTGACAAGGTGCAGCTGTTAATAGAGGTTTTTTTTTTGGCACCTAAGCAACCAATGAACCTTTCTGGTCTACCAATGTTTGGTTGACTGTTGGGGGGCAGCTCTACTTCAGACAGAAGAATGTTGATCCACTTGGTCACTTCCTGTTTTTGTCCATCACCTGACTGTATATTAAATCCATGCAGGAGTGTACTAAGTAAACTCTGAGTGTAATTCAACACAGTTTCACCTCAGATAAACTCATTATTTAATCTTGGTTGTGCCCTCAAGGACGACCCACTCCCCTACCTTTCTCCTCCTCCTCCTCCTCCTCCTCCTCCTCCTCCTCCTCCTGCGCTTTCCTTCTGTCTCCACTGATTCACTCTGGCTGACCCTGAAATGCTTTGAACCAATCAGACTGCAGCTTCCAGTTGACTCTCGTGGGTTTGTGGTCCAGCAGAGCAGCGATAAGGTGCTTCAGACTTTAACAAGGCTTTGTTCTGATTCCACTAATGCACGTCTTTACCTTCAAACCTATCAGTTCTCTTAGCGTTAGAACTAATCCTTCTTGGGAGTGGAGTGAACTGCTCTGGCTGTAGATACTAATCTCACAAATTCACAGCCCATTCAAAGCAGCTGGTACTGATTAAAGGCGGGGTGGACCGCTGTCATCACAGTCAGCAGCTTGTATAACCTTCTTCCTGTGTCTTCCTTCACTAAAGAGTTCCTCCCAAGACGAAGCAAGTGGCGCTTTGAAACATCTGGAATATGTAAGCCCTCAACTCACCACCATGGTGCACGCTGTTCACTGTACTAATGGGTAGAGCAGGAGGCTGAGCTGGAGGAGGTTCGGACTGAGGGGGAGAGTTGATGTTATCCATTAATATCAATGAAGGCTGCAGCTAATGACTAGTTTTATTATCGATTCATCTGCCCATTATTTTCTCCATTAATCAACTAATGGTTTTGTCTTTAAAATGTCAGAAAGTCAAATTTGCGATTTCCTAGAGGCCAAGGAGACATCTTCAGAGGGTTTGTTTTATCCAACCAATGATCCAAAAATCTGAAGCAGGTCACTGAAGTTCATTATTATTATTTTTGACAAAGAAAAGCTTGGAAGTGTTGCGTATAAAAGCACGAAATAAGCAAGTTTTTTGTTGTTGTTTTTTTAAATTTTATTTTGCAAAAGAATATTGACTAAAGCGGTAACTCTTAAATTTTCTTTCTTAAATAGTTACTGATTAAGTTATTAATTTTCTGGCCATCAACTATCGATTAATTGACTAATTGCTGCAGCTCTAATATCTATCCACCAATTCAGAGTGAGTTTATATTTACAAAAAATTATAAAATTAATCAGTGTGAACATTAAATATCTTGTCTTTGTGCTGTCTTCAACTGAATATAGGTCAAAAAAGATTTGCCAAATCATGTATTCTGTTTTTATTCATGTGTTACGCAGCGCCCCGACTTTTTAGAACTGGGGTTATATTTAATAACTTTCTGTTGTGTTTGATCAGAACGTACTGAACAATAATCTGAGTGAATCAGTGTGAACATTTGAGCAGGAGGAATTATCAGACCTGCTGTGAGTGTGACTCAGAGTCAAAGTATTACATATATTTAATCAGGTGGTGTTGCTGAGTAATTGAGACCTGACAAACAAAAGCACAGACATTATTTAACAGAGTCCGAGTTTAAGAGGGATGAGACGCTCAATCTTTAAACTCCTCTGTAATTTATTCCATTTACAAGGTGCAAAGTAGAGACAGGCAGTTTGTCCAGGTTCAGTGTTCACCTGAGGAGGAACTAGAGTGAAGCAGACCTCAGATCTGCTCTGGTGAGAAGAAAAGTGATGGATTGGGGAGGCTTTTGTAGGAGACCTTTATGGTTCTTTTCTTGATAAATATGATTACAGTGATCAACTGCATCAACTTGTTTTAAAAGTTCACTGTGTCAGATTTAGAGAGATTAGTGTTATATAACTTTAAGGATTGCAGATTGCAACCAGCTGAAACTTCTCCTGGTTAGAATTCCTTCAGTGTTCATTGTTCAGGAGGCTTTTACCAGGAGCCAAATCATCTGCAGAGGTCTCTTCCTCTCTAACACAAAGACACCAGGGGCCTCATGTACAAAGGCTCGTGTGGATTTCCTACTGAAACATGGCATACTTAAATCTAGAAAATGTCGTACGCACAAAAACATCCAGATGTATGAATCTGTGCATATGCATGAATCCAAGCACATTTCCTTTGTATATCCCAATCAACGTGGAATTGAGCGCACTCCCTCCCTGTCCACTCTCCCATTTTTATATGCAAATCATATTTAAATGGGCCCTGCACCTGAGATTCCCCTCTCTGCATGATCAGAAAACTAAAACAAAAGAATGAGTAAGACAGGAAAAAAGAAAAACTTCACAGAATGCGAATTGGAGACGCTACTCACTGAAGTGGAGGCACGCAAAAATGTACTTTTTGGCACGCTGTCCTCCGGCATCAATACTAAACGCGAGAGGAGTGAGTAGGAGAGTGTGTGTGATTCTTCCACCTGCTTATTTTTCTAATAACTTAAGATCCAGACTGAATAAATCACTTTCACATTACAAATCAGTGTTTTTCTGGCGCTGCTCGTCACGGAGGGGCTGTTAACAACGGTGGGACGCAAAAACCTGAATGTCCTTGTCTAGAGCCAGTGTTCGGTTTGTCATTATAATATGCATTTGTATATACTGTATTAAATGTAATTTGCTGTTTCTGGTATGTATTTTACGGAGATCATCCAGTGACGATCACGTGACCGGAGCATATGGATTTAAAGATGCGTCTTTATACATACAGCTAAATCTGAAGAAGAGCATTAACTCGAAACGTAACTCGTGGATGTGCTAATAAACTGCCCTGCAGGGAGCTGAAGTGGGCAGACCTCTGTGCATGTTGTTTGCGACAGTGGTGACTCTACCAATCACATTGCATGACAAAATATGATGTCTGCAACATAACAAAATTCTCCCTGTGTGCGGCATGAAAGACAAGTACTGGTGCTGGTACTCTTCAGTAGTGTGAATTAGGCTTTAGTGATGATTGGGTCTGCAAGCACTTAAAAGATGCACATGAATTTCAGCCTCCTCACTTGGAGTTTAAAAGTGGCAGAGTGTCGTTCCTGTGCGCTTCTGCAGCACCACACCCTGATTCTTATTACTTATAAGATCAGACAGTTTCAGTGTGGAGGCAGGGAGATGTTTTGTCAGCCTTCAGGAGCAGCTCAAGATTGCAGCATATGGTTTTGATGGCGATGAGTGCCGCCGTCTCCTGAGCGTGACAAGTAAATGTGATTATCACAGTTTAGAGATAATGAATACCTGAATGTACACACACTCGCAAACTGCACACCCCTCTGATTGACAGGCAGACTGAAGTGACAGAGTGCAGCGTAACTCCACAATGCAGGTTTCACTCACACACTCACACTCACACCCTCAGAGGCCTGACCTCTACAATGCCACATTCACCATTCAGGTGCAACATAACTGGAGCTGACATCAAGTCACGTCTAAAGGGCAGGAGGAGGGGCAGAGCCTTGACCAGTCTCTTTGACTCTCTGAGTGGTGTCTCACATTGGCTGTTGGACATGTTGGAGGCGGTGAAAGTTTGAGGGCGGCTGTGAGGTAGTCGGGTCGCTCTGTATATACTGTCTGAGGTGCAGCAGGTATGGCAGGGCGCTGAGGTGTGTGTGAGTGATGTGAGGAAGAACTTCAGGTCATAAACAAACTGTTGTAATATTTCTTCCTCTCTCTACGTCGACAGGTACTGGAAGAGATCTCCTGCTACCCAGAGAACCACGAAGCTAAAGAACTCAGACGGATACTGACCCAGCCACATTTCATGGTGAGTCAAAACACACACATACACGACTCATGTCCGTTGTAGCTCTCAGACGGGTGCAGGAGGCCTCTGTACAAACAGACGTGAGCTCGATGAAGTGCGATTGAATCCGTGTGTCTCTGCTCGACAGCCTCTGCGGGCCTCAGCCTTATATTCTGCAACTTGTGAGGTTAGAAAGTGCTAAAAGAGAGCAACACAAGTGTGAGACTTTTACAGCTTTATTTTCTGCAGCGTGGTGTCAGGTAGAGCGCTAAGTGGTTTCATCTTAACAAGATCACAGTTTTTGTTTTTTATTTCGGTATATAATTAACATTTGGATACAACTCTGCCTCTGAAAACAATATTCAAGAGTAATTCTGCTGAAATAGACGCGTCTGAGTCTGAGCACTGAGCAGCAAGGGTTAATCCAGTCAAGAGAAAGTCACTATGGGCCTGTCAGCAGCCTCCCCTGCTAATCCTATCACATTAATGCGTCTGATGTCCGTCTCTGATCAGTGGCCTGCTCGATGATATCAGACAGACGGACCAACACAAAGGGGGAGGCAGAGGGAGGGAGGAGACGTGAAACAGAAGGAGGGAAAAGTGTATCAAACTGCAGTGATAAGGAGCGAGAGGAGATCAGTGATGAAGATGAATGGAAGGAGAGGGTTCAGACTGCGAGGTGAGGAAGGAGGGGAGGTGTGGATGGAGGTCAGTAAGGCGTAGTCTGATGCGATGTGCTGTGTCGGGTCAGAGGCCCGGCTCCCTCATAGCGCTACGAGAGCGTAAACTGACGGAGGGAGGGAGGAAGAGAGGCACCGGCGAGTTCTGCATTCCGATGAGTTCAAGTGAGAGCGAAGTTCAGACGACACCACACCAGCAAGGAGTGAGAGTGAAGTGTTTAAAGGAATAGTGTTTGTTTCCTGTCCTCACTAGTTCTACATTTTGAGAATTATAATTATTAGCTTTCTTTCCATGAGCGAGACGAGGATATCAACATCACTCTCATGTCTGTGCTACAACAGTGTCCTCCTTTAAAGGTCCAGTGTGCAGGATTTAGGGGCAGAAATGGAATGTGATATCCATAACTACACTTTCTGTAGTGTATAATCACCTGAGAAGGGGAATCATTGTGGGGTTTTTTACCTTAGAATGAACTGTTTATATCTACACGTGGTCTTTGTCCATGGTGTCCGCCGTGTTGTTTCTACAGTAGCCAAGAACGGACAAACCAAACACTGCCTCTAGATAGGTCCATTTGCATTTTTCAGCAGCCACTGTAGTTCTACTGCACCAGGGATACTCAACTTGCTTTGCTCAGGGGACACTTTTGCAAACAAACAGGAGGTCAACATAGTTCAGGTGTACACAGGGACATTTCTGAAGCCCTTTTTAAACAGGAGTTGTGCAAATTTGCAGGAAAGCCCAATCAGTCTTTTTTCAGCATTGGCAGTATAAAAACAAAATCGGGGAGTGCAGCAAAATGCCTCCTACCTACTTTTGTTTATACAGAATGCGCCTTTTTCGGGGCAATGGGGGGCGTGAGCAAGTAACAAAACGTGTAGCTCAGCGTGTGACGTAAACAGTGACGTGGGAGGGAAGCTGCAGCTGGTCAGTCCTTCGGTGATTCTCTCGTAAGTCGGCCCGTTCTTCACCGTCCCCGTCATCTGACGGTTAATGGCCTCTTCGTTTGCGAGGACAAGGAGGGCGCGCAATTCCTTGTCTCCCCAGTTGCTCATCTTTACAGTGTCTGTCAGGTTTGTGTTTCCCTCTTGCTACTAGCTGCTCGCTAATTCCTGCTATCAGCTGTTTCCTGTTTTTCCACCCCCAGTGGCTCGCATGTGCTGCGTCATCAACAGCTCCTCCCACAAGTCATCAACAGCCCCTCCCGTGGCGGAAGGCCGCCTCGGTCTGTTTAAACCAAAGGGGTTCTGCCAATATGTCTACCCTACGAGGCGGAAAATTGGGCACCTCGGATCAACTCGCCAATCCGGCTCTGTGTGTCTAAACGCTCACAGCTTGCCGGCAAAACGGCCCAACATTCACCGAAACTGGCAGTGTAAAATGAGGACATTCAGGGCCTAGCTGACACCTCTGTCAGGGGGTCTGGAGGATCCTCCTCTTGCACTTTTTCTTGATGATCAAGCTCTATTTTGAGGGGTTTTATGCACTCCGGTGTTTTATTTACATTAAAAGTACAAAAAAGATCCCAATATGAATCAATTGATTTTAATGGTTGGGGGGTCTCACAGGCTAGATGCCACTAAATCCTACACAGTAGCCAGTCGGCTTGTAGTGAAGTCCGCTGGTCAAGTCAAAACGTTTTGTCATGTATGTTATTTCCTTTCTGTCGAGCTACACCCACAAACCATATCACCACACAGAAGAAAGTGTGCATGTACTCATGGACGAGACACTCGTGACAGAGCTGTAAACATTACAGCGTCCGCCTCGACTGAGGTGTGACGTCAGCTATCTCAGTGGTGCTAGGTGAGCTAGTAATAGAAGCACTTCCTTCTGAGCAGTGACACAGTTGGTGGGTGTAGTTCGGTAGAAAGTAAATAGTTCCTACATGAAACTGCTCACAGCAAGTTCTGTGGATTACCTTTTGAAACCGGGTTATGATTTCTAGAAGGAGACACTGATGTTGAGTTGCTCAAATGTATTTCTGTGGCCGAGTGCCGTCTAGTTCCATTATACTGGAGAGAATAATGATAAGAATAAACTTTATTTATTGGGCACTTCTATACAAATAAAACAGCACAAAGTGCTCTATAAAAGGGAACTACATGCTCTGAGTGCTTCACCTGAAAATAGACAGAATGAATATAAAACAGACAAACAAGGCAATTCAGGAAATAAAAATATAAATACAAATAAATACAAAAAATAAAACTAAAAAATAGATGAAAATAGAGAACACAGAATGCAGCATAGCTCAAAGCACACATCTCTCACACCTAAGCTGTAACTGTAGAAAGGTGAGGTCCACCCAGAGTGCGGCGCCGACCTCCTCCTCTTTAAGACGAATTATTTGAAAGCTCCTGCAGCAGTTTATGTCACTGTGTGACCTCAGTGTTTTCTGCCGTGACCTTTTCTGTCCTCGGCTACATTAACAACATCTGTGTGTTTCACTTTAACACCTCGATGTCAACAGGTATAACAGGTATCTACAGGATGTTTGAGAAGTCCACTGTTGTTTTGAGTGCTGCGGGTTGTTTTTGACAAGTTTTCTTTTCACAGAATTTGACCGGGGCATCAGATAATCTGAAAATCTCTCCCCCGTCCCTCCTTCGCTCTGCGTTTGTTATCTCTCACAGTCGTTCTCACTTATCTTCACTTGTGCTGCTTTTCTCTGTTTCTTTTTTTTTTTTTTTTTTTTTGCGTTCTCACACTCACTCAAGCACATCCACACGGCACGGAAGGATTAGTTAACCCCTTAACCCTGTCCTCATTAGGGCACAGTCACACACACACACAACCGTAACTTCCTCTGTGTCTCGGAACATGAAGTTTCTTTTATGTGATGTAGTTTGACATGGAAATTAGAGACGCTGCCACTGCCTTCACGTCTCTGCCTCTCTGATCTTTGTGTGTGTGTGTGTGTGTGTGTGTGTGTGTGTGTGTGTGTGCGTGCGTGCGTGTGTGCGTGGATGCGTGTGTGTGTGTGTGTGTGAGAGAGAGACGCTGAGGGAAGACAGTGACAGGTCCCCCTTTGTTGAGGTTTGATTGCCGTCCTCTGAAGTTCAGACTGGTTTGTTAAAGTGACACTCAGGGGCTTCTGCGGCTGTCGGAGGAGCAGAGAGGAACACTCTGTGGGTGTGAGGCACCAGCGGGTTCTGCAGCTTCACAACGCACGCCGCTCAAACTCAAACAGACACAGGGGCGACACACCAAAGGCACCTGAGGAAGAGGGGGAATACCTGAGACTACGGCAGAGTAGAGACGCAGACAGAGTCGTGATGTAAATCCCTCCTGCTCCTCTGTGGTCTGACCTGAGAATGAAGTCGAGCTCAACTGGTTCTCACTCTGTGTGTGGTTTGATTGCCATGAAATACTCTCCATGTCCCTCGTTGAGTGAGACAGTATATTTGGGGTTCAGGATCCCACTCACTTTGAGTCAAATGTAAAATCAGAACAAGCACTCAAGTGTTGAATTTACATATTTTGCTGAGGTGAATTTTGATGACTTACACATTAACATGATTTTGTTTTAGGGAACTATTTTTGCGGAGGCACAGCAGCCAGCTGAAGCAGCCCTCACACCGCTTGACCTTGAAATTTGCTTAGTCCGTCTGTTGTATTTCAGAGCAGAGAGCACAGAGTGCACAGGTGGGAGGTGGGTTCAGATGAGGTGCTGAGCTGAGAACTGGGTTATTTCTGCATTTGTTGTATTGTTTTGAAAGGAAATTTTAATTGCATTCACCGGCCACTTTATTAGGTACACCTGTTCAACTGCTCCTTAAAGCAAATAGCTAATTATCCAATCAAGTGACAGCAACTCAATACATTTATTCATGTAGACATGGTGAAGACGAGCTGCTGAAGTTCAAACTGAGCATCAGAATGATGAAGAAAGGTGATTGAAGTGACTTTGAACGTGACATGGTTGTTGTTCTGAGTATTTACTGGGATTTTCAGCACAACCATCTCTAGGGTTTACAGAGGATGGTCCCAAAAAGAGAAAATATCCAGTGAGCCAAAATGCCTTGTTGATGCCAGAGGTCAGAGGAGAATGGCCAGACTGGTTCAAGATGATAGAAAGGCAACAGGAAGTCAAATAAGCACTGGTTCCAACCAAGGTGTGCAGAAGAGCATCTCTGAAGCAACAACACCTTGTCCAACCTTGAAGCAGATGGGCTACAGCAGCAGAAGACCACACCAGGTGCCACTCCTGTCAGCTAACAACAGGAAACTGAGGCTATAATTCACACGGGTTTTCTCACCAAAACTGGACAATAGAAGATTGGAAAAACCACATTCAGATGGAAGCATGGATCCATCCTGCCTTGTATCAACGCTTCAGGCTGCTGCTGCTGGTGTAATGGTGTGGGGGAGATTTTCTTAGTACCAACTGAGCATGGTTTAAACACCACAGCCTACCTGAGTATTGTTGCTGAGCGTGTCCATCCCTTTATGACCACAGTGTACCCATCTTCTGATGGCTACTTCCAGCAGGATAACGCACCATGTCACAAAGCTCACATCATCTCAAACATGACAATGATTTCACTGTACTCCAATGGTCTCCACAGTCACCAGATCTCAGTCCAATAGAGCACCTTTGGGATGTGCTGGAACGGGAGATTCTCATCATGGATCAACTGTGTGATGTCATCATGTCAATATGGACCAACATCTCTGAGGAATGTTTCCAGCATCTTGTTGAATCTGTGGCACCAAGAATTAAAAAGGAGGTCCAACCCGGTACCAGCAAGGTGTTCCTAATAAAGTGGCTGGTGAATGTATATTATTTTACCTGTTGTTGTACTGCTACGGGCAGGGAGGAACAGCATTTTATTTTTTATGTATGTAAGTACTAAAGAAAATGACATGAGGAACACAAAGGCCCTGGATATATACACTGCGTAACTTAGCCAGAGGGAACTCAAATTCACTGAGTGCATTTTACTAACAAGAAACTCAATAAAAAATCTTACAGTAGCCTGAGGCTATACAACAATTGACCATAAACAGACTGCCAGACGCTGGTCTGGGTCAAAAGGCTCCCGGTCATTGTTGCATATTTGCATCACTGAAGCAAAATATTCGCAGGCAGGCATTTATTCATCACGCCCACGGTGTGTAAAGGCCTTTAATGCACTGACAGCAGGAACAGCAGTTAAACAATCTGCATTTATTTATAAATTAATGAGTGGTTGTTACAGTGTCTGATATTCATGGTTGCTTTATACTGTATGAAAAGATTCTCCCTCAGTTCTTTAAATCCCTGCAGCCATCTGAAGCTAGTTACATATGTTGATGAATCTGCAGCCTCTGATTTGAGAAGTGCCACATCTGAGCACAGTGACATCACACACAGCCATCCACTGTGTTTACCTACATTACATCACGTGCAAATGTCGCCAGCCTGCTACAGAATCGCCATTCACACCTTCACCCCTGAGCTGCAGCTGTAGGCACCCCGTCACTCTTTCTGCCGTGCTCATCCTCCTGTTTTTATCTCTGTATAAAGCCGTCCTCACGCTGACTCTGTGTTTGTGTACACAGGCCTTGTTGCAGGCGCACGACGTGGTGGCCCACGAGGTTTACAGCGACGAGGCTCTGAGGGTCACCCCTCCGCCCACCTCGCCCTACCTGAACGGGGACTCCCCAGAGAGTGCCAACGGAGACATGGACCTGGAGAACGTCACCAGGGTGCGCCTGGTCCAGTTCCAGAAGAACACAGACGAGCCAATGGTAACGCAGCGTGACAGATGCACTGCACTCACTCGCACATGCACACTGAGATGGTGCCTTTTGTTAAGACTGTGTGCTCTGTATCATCACGCAGGGCATCACGCTGAAGATGAACGAGTCAAACCACTGCATCGTTGCGAGGATAATGCACGGAGGGATGATCCACAGACAAGGTACACTCTTACAACTGGCAATAAACAGATAGTTGGGATCTTTTGAAGTGGGGTTGGATGAGGTTCTTATCCATGGTCGGTATATTACCTGCAGTAGATGGAGGTTGGCAGGTCACCAGTTTGGAGAAGCAGGCTGTGGCAGTGTGCTGCTGTGGAGGGGGCAGATCTAAAATGTATTTTAGCCACCTAACAAGATCAATATCAGTTTAAGTGTACACTATATTTAGAATATTTTCACAACTTTACCTTCCCGTCAGACCACAGTTTCCGACATGAGTCTGGGGTCGTCACATCGCTCTCTTCACAGCCAGACTCCAGTGAGAAAAACAGTGATTTAAGCTCACTGAACACAGGAGCTGCTGGTCTACAGCTGCCTCAATTAGTCAGTTTGTTTGGGCTAAAATACGTTCTCTTGCTGACCCCTCCACAGCAGTATATTGCTTAGCTTCTGTGTCAGACTCCAGCCTACTTCTCCAAACTGGGGGCTTGTTGACTTACATCTACTGTATCTGATACACAGACTATGGATAAATACTTCAGACCATCTTCTTTAAAAAATCTGAAATATCTCTTTAATGCCGACACATTGATAAAGGGTGTTATATTACAAATGACTGCCTACAGGCTGTGTGACTCTATGAGAGGCATGCCTTGTAAATATTTGTAAAATAGTCAAATTTGCTGCTACAGACGAACAGCAGTTCTAGGTAAGTAGTATTTATTAAACACAGTCTGTTGTGATACCTGAAAGAATCAGTTTGACTATTTCATGTCTGGTGATTGACTTCTAATTCACACTGACAGCATCACAGGGTGTCTGTGTGTCCTTAAGAAGAGTCAAAATGTTTTAAGTTAAATTTTTATAAGTAGCAGGCCTTAAAAGTCATTAAATAGTCTTGAATTTATAGGTCATCTCATTCAGTTCTCCATATTTCAATTTCTTTTTGTCCAAACTTCAGCTGCGACGATTAATCGATGAGTTGTCAGCTATTAAATTAATGGCCTTGGGGCGTCGTGGCTTAGTGGTGGCTTGGTCCTTGCCGCAGCAGCCACAGGTTCGCCTCTAGCCTGCAGCCCTTTGCTGCATGTCGCGTCCTCTCTCTCTCACCCATTTCATGCCAAGTCTGTTCTATCATTAAAGGCCTGAAAAGCCCCCCCAAAAAATCTTTAAATTAATCGCCAGCAAATCTGATAACAGATTAATGGATTTGAGTAATTTTGTAAGACAAAAAAATCAAAATTCTCTGATTCCAGTTTCTTAAACGTGAATGTCAATTTCTGGTTTCTTTCCTTGTTTATAGTAATAATAATAATAATAATAATAATTTTATTTGTAAGCGCTTTTAACAAATGCTCAAAGACACTACAGTTTTTTAAAAATCATAAAATAGAGCTTAGTCAGAATAAAACTCTAATTTAAAAAGGTGAGTTTTGAGCATGGTCTTGAATGTTGGGAGGTGTGTGCAGATACGGATGGGTTTGGGGAGTGAGTTCCAGAGGGAGGGGCAGCGATGGAGAAGGCCCTGTCCCCCTAAGTTTGGTGCTTGGTCCGTGCAGGTAGTGAGAAGAGATTTCCTTCGGATGAGAGGAGGTCGTTGGAGGGGGTGTGGTGGTGGAGTAGGTTTGTGAGGTAGGAGGGGGCCTGGTTGTTGAGTGCTTTGTGTGTGAGGATGAGGATTTTGAACTGTGTGTGATAGGGAGCCAGTGTAGGTTTTGGAGGACGGGGGTGATGTGGTCTCGGGAGCGGGTGTGGGTGGACAAAACAAGATATTTGAGAACGTCATCTTGGGCTTCGGGAAACACTGGACATATTTCATCATTTTCTGACATTTTATAGACCAAACAACTCATCAACTAATGGAGTAATAAGTAACCAACAGATATATCTGGTATGACAATTATGGTTAGTTGCAGCCTTAGTTAAAATGAGTCGAGCTCTCTGTGTCAAAGTCTTTATTTCTGATGTTACAAATCTTTAAACCTACCGCTGAACCTCAGACTGTCTTTCTACCTGTTGGCAAAAAGCAGATTAACCTAACTCACACTTATAACCATATTCCTACAGATAGATAATTAATTTTATTCGTAACCTGTGCTCAAATAAGAAAAATATAACTTATCCAAAAATTTAAATATCTTTCAAAAGGCCTTCATATGCATTAAAGTTAAGTGTCAGATACCTGCAGACACCCTGTTTCATGGTGCTTATGATTTCATTTAATTAAAAAAAATAAAATAAAAAAAAAACATAGGGTTTTAGTTAAAATAAAACTTAAAATATTGTGTTATTGTCAGGGTGAATCTACAGGAAGCACAAACTCCTCCATTTTCACTTAAACAGGAGACCAGAGAAGTACAGGTTGCTAAGTGTGAGCACATGCATCCCCAGACACTCCAGCAGCTGCTTTATCTGCTCTTTTGGTTGAAGGCAACACTTGCTGTGTTTCTTTGTGACGGCAACATACTGTTAATTAATCCCCAGTTGATTTATCATGAGGTAATTAGAAAATCACCTCGATTACACAGGATGTTTTTCTCTGCTTTGGGGAGAAAAAAAGAGAAAGTAATGAAATATAACGAGGCTGTTTAATGAGGACGAAGGTCTGATTCCACGTATGTGTTTCTCCTCCTTCCTCTTGTTTCCTTTCAGGAACGTTGCATGTAGGAGACGAGATCAGGGAGATCAACAGCATCAGTGTGGCCAACCAGACTGTTGAGCAGCTGCAGAAGATGCTGGTGAGTGAGTGTGTGTGTTCATATGTTCATGACTAAGTCTGTTAGCACATGCTCAGTGTATCTCTACATTACTGTGTTAATCAGCTAAATGTCACATGCTTAAAGGGATAGTCCAGATCTTTTGAAGTGAGGTTGTATGTAGCCATAGACAGTATTTTTCATATAGTAGACGCCCCCAGTTTGGAGAAGCAGAGAAGCTTTACCCTGATGTCAGACATGATATCCAGTGGAGGAAAAAATGCTGTTATATCGCTGTCTTTATAACCAGACTCCAATGAGAAAAACAGTGATTTAATAAAGCTGAACACAGGAGCTGCTGGTCGACTGCTGCCTCTATCAGTTAGTTCATTTGTACTATTTTGTGACTTTGATGTTTACAAGAGTTAGTTCGGATTCACCGGAAGTCAGACAATAACACAAACTAAGTGAGGGTGCTTTCTGTTTGGTTCGGTTCAATCAAACTCAAATTCATTTGCCCCCTCAGTGCGGTTCTTTTGGGCAGGTGTGAACACAGCAATCACGCTCAGGTGTGCACCAAAACAACCGGACTGAGACCTTCTTGAAGAGGTGGTCTCAGTCCGGTTCCAAAGGAACTCTGGTGCGGTTGGTTTGTGGTGAGAAGGTGTTCCGACCTGGATGTGAAGCAACTGCAGTCACATGACACATTGTTTGGGTTAAACATGAGCATGTTACAGTCCTGGAGGATTATTAATGTGCACCTCCTCCTGTACTGCCTTAATATGCACATTCAGCACATCCAATGCATCAAAACATTGTTTTCTAGTTGGAGCCGCGCCTCGTTTTCAAACTGTATGGTTTGACTAAAATGAACAATGACAGCAATATAGTCCACGATGAGCAGCGCTAAAATCAACCTGCGTAGTTGTCCCTCCATTGTGACATTAGAAAGTGTCACATTTATCTTGCAAGTGTACTCTTCTTCAACGTTTGCTTTACTTCCTGGATTTTTCCCACATGGAAATTCTGACCAATCAAGAGCAGCTTTCTCACACAAGGCATTTGATCTGGTCCTCTTGTAAATGCTGCCGTGAGAACACGAACCAACTCTAGGCAATTATACAACTTTTGGAACAACAGGAGTCCCTGATTCAGACCAAAGGAGACGACTCTGTCTAGACAGCAGCCTAACTGATCGAAGCAGCTTCTGTATTCAGCGAGCTATAATGAGTGTTTTTGTCAATGGAGTCTGGCTTTGATGACAGTATAGATGGGAACTGCAGCATTAATGGCTTCCCCCACCGAAACAGGCTGTCTGACAGAAAGGTAAAGCAGTGAAAATACTCTCAATATAGCATACACTTAAACTGATGTTGAATTTTTTTTAGGTGAAACTGTTTTTTAGCTAGCAAAGATACATTTTGTTGCTGACCCTCATTAACAGCAGCACATAGCTTAGCTTCTGTGTTTACATTGACTCATACTTACATACAATCCCACCTCAAAAAATCAGAACTGTCCCTCTAAAAAGATAAGACAAAACTCACAGTATCTGTGTGTGTGTGTGTGTGTGTGTGTGTGTGTGTGTGTGTGTCCCCACAGAGGGAGATGCGAGGCAGCATCACCTTCAAAATAGTGCCAAGTTACCGGACGCAGGGCTCCTCGTGTGAGGTAACATCTCCTCTTCCTCCTCCTCTTTACTGCTGATTGTGAAGCTCCTGATCTGGTTACTAACTGCTCGCCTGGTTACTGAGTGTGTGTGTGTGTGTGTGTGTGTGTGTGTGTGTGTGTGTGTAACCAACATATGTAGTGTGTATGGGGTGTGCTGTGGTTGTGTGTATGTGTGTGTGTGTTTTGCTGTGTTTTGCTGGGGCTCTGATATTCAGCACACCAATTTCACAACCAAGATACCGGAACCACCCCCTCCCCTCTCCTCCCTCCGCCTCCTCTGGTCCAGGAATGAGCCACACCTCTCTGTGTGATCCCGTCCTGTATACACACTCACACACTACTGGGGTGGACACAATAACAGAAACACCTTACAGGTCAATATCAGTTAATCCAATTAAACCTTGTCTGTGTTACAAACCAATAAGACAGAACACGTGTAGACTGTAAAGACGACAAAGACAAATAAAGTTTAAGAAATTGAGACCAGTGCGCACGAGACAATAAAACAAAAATGTAATAACAATAGATGTGTAAGCTGTAATAACAGTAATCTCTGTACGCGGATGACTTTAGGCAGCTGGAGAAGATTTTATTATTGGAAGCATCCTGCTTTAAGTTTGTAGTCCAAGTAGTCTCGACAGATCACGTCTGTACACCAGTTAAACCGTCTGTGTGGAGAGGCAGATGATTGGCTGAAATTTCTATTAGTTTTTTAAATGTATCTGCATTCCTGTACAGATGTTTGTTTCTAGAGATTAGCCAAAATCACTAGCACACAGAAGAGGATGTCGTGGCTCAAGTATCTGCCGGCTGCACCGGATCTCCCAAATTATTGGCCATCGTCTTGGCCAAAAAATCTCCATCCATTCATCATGCTGAATTGGCCCAAAAAGAAAAGCCAGCTAGGGTGACAGGCGCTCACCGATGGCCTAATGCGGACCGTCGCCTTGCTGTGTCAGTGCCTAAAAGCTGATGGAGTCCGAGATTCGAGTTACAGTAATAGTAGTACAACAGAATAGAGCAAAATAATCATATCTAAAATATAAAAATAACGCACACAAAGGATTAGAATGAGGAGCTGTAGACTTGATTGTAGAAAACAAGTGTCACACTCTGGCTCCATGTGCATTTATTTTATTTTGATGACGCTGAATTTCGTTGAAGACAAAGGCCAAAACGCAGTGTGACACTTGCTTTCTACAATCAAAAGAATCATGTTGCCATTTTTTCGACAGACATTGCAATGTGAGTCACAAATTTAGCAGGAATTTCATTTTTGCATTTTGTTTTTACTGAAGAAAAAAAAATATAAAAATGATGCTGATGTAATTTTTGCAGCGATCTGTACCAAAAAACATGTTCTCTAAAATCTGGAAATTATTTGTAAGCTGAGACGTCTCTTAAGCACCACAAAGCTTCATTTCTAATAGTTTGTTGTGGCACATTTTATCCGCAGCTCCAGCAGTTTGTGTATTGCTCTCCTCGGTTTATTACGACTTCAATAATACTTTGATTAATTGTGCAGCCCTAAAACAGAGTAAAATAAAAACTGGAAAAAGAGAAGTGTACTAAAAAGACAAAACAGCAATAAAATGATGACAATAAAATAGATTTCACAACTATAATAATAATTTTAAAATAGTTAAAGTAAAGCTGGACTAAATACTAGATAAAATATAATAAAAAGATGAAACAAAGACAAAATCAACGAGTGATAAAAATAAGATTTATAATAGAATATCTCTACAATTAGAAGTCTGTTAAAGCTCATAACTTTTGTTAAAACTGACACACACGGAGCAGATTAATTTGATAAAGCAAAATAAACTCATAAATGATGAAGACATGCAGAATATGAAAGACACAAAACAACCATCAACCGATTTTACAGCGAACACCTTTATTGTTTGGGTTTAGTCTCGCGGCTCTCATCAACTGCGCTCCAGCAGCAAATACACTCTTCCTGCCCAGCACAAACAGCTGAGAGACAAAGTCAGACACTAAGTAATGATTTATATAAAATAGAATTATTTGTATTTATACAGCACCTTTAAAGCAAAGAGCACTCCAGCTGAGGGAAAGTCCAAAAACCAGATACCGAGTTCTAAAAGCAGCAAAAAAAAAAAAGCAGAAACAATCAGTCACAAAAACAATGTCAGCAAACCAAGACTAGATGGGAGGAGATCTGTGAATCAAAGCTTCACTGCCCTGTGTCGTGGACTCTGGAGCAGCTGAAAGGGTTAAACCAGCTGATCCGAGAGGTCTTTGTGGACAGAAGGGAATTCACTAATGTAATCTGGCACCTGGCCACGTTGAGCCTCGTATGTAATTACTTACATTATTTTAAAAAAGACATTTGGAAAGCAGAGCTAAGAGTCTAAAAGTGGGATGACAGGGTTATTGTGGTTTTCCTTATTTGGGTTAAAACTCAGTGACAGCTGAGGTCAGCTGCTGCTGCACAACACGGCTTTTATTTTGGGGAGTTGTACACGCAAACCACAGCAACTGCAGTTTTTAGCTGAAGACAGAGAAAAGACGACTGAATATAACTCCATAGATTACCAGATTGATCGTCAAAATAATTTATGAATTATCAGTTAATGCACAAAGGTGATTTGTCACTTCATTTGTCATTTATTGTTTTGTTGAAAAGCTCTCTGTGGTCATGATTTCCGCTTATAAAACTTCACATTTCAGTTTCCATCTCAGCTTCTTTCCCTTGAGTTAAAACTATATTATTATTATATTTGAGCTCATCTCTTAAATCATTTCATAAAACATTTATTACATTTAAATGTCTGCCCTGTTGGTTGTGCAGCACACACTGGCTGCTCTGTGGGATGTTCAGTCCCTGAGCTGTGGCAGTGTGTGTTAGCGATGACCTCATGGTCTCTCAGACGAGTATCTGATGTTAGTCTGCCGCCCCCCTGTGGTGCTGTAAGGACGTGCAGGCTGGAGGGCAGCTGATGATGATGTCTCCCATGTCTTGTTGACGCATTTCATTACGTCAACGCTGTGGTGGGTCTCTATTGTGCTCTACAGATTCACCCTCTCATCGCCTCTGGTCGTTGCCCACAAATGTGTGACTGTATGTGTGTGTGAGATGTGTGTGTGTGTGTGTGTGTGTGTGTGTGGTGGCTGTGCGCTGCTGACCTGTGTGTCTTATTTCAGAAAGAGTCCCCCACCACCTCCAGGCAGTCCCCTGCCAATGGCCACTCCAGCATTAACAGTTCTATCTTGGTAAGGACCCCCCCACCCCCAGAAACCCCCCTCAGACAGACCCACAGTCATTTCTCTCTCCTCTCCCCGGTGCGTCTCATCTGTCACGTTCATGTGTCGTGGTATTTTTACATGTCCGTGTCTCTCCGACAGTTTTACAATGGCTCGTGTTTATTTTGTGATTGTCCCAGTAGCAGTAGACGTAGCAGTAGGCGGGTTGCAGCGTACTCTCCCTGCTCATGCTTCATGCTCGTGTTTGAGCCAAAGGCCCCCGTGTCCGATATCTCAGTTAACAAATTGGTGTGCCTCATAACGCCTGCTGCGTGCTGTGCCTCACTGCTGACACAACACACCGGGCCTCCTGTGGTCACGGTGGCACAGGGGACACACTCCGGGCTCCCGCCGTGCATTACACTAAAAACCTAATCAGGTTGTGCAGCTCCTTTGTTTCTGTGCCAAGGCTCCAGACAGACACTGTGGTGGTGCTGATGCTGCAGCTTTTTTGCTTGCTCTCTGCTTGCTTGGTTGCTCCACGGCCAGATCTGCTTTAACAGATGAGAATTACTCTGTTCTCTCCTCCTCTCTCTCTCGAGCAGTAGCTAGATCGCAGATGAATGCATGCATGGTTTAAAGTTCTCTAAATGATATCTGAATGTTGTTGTTTTATTTTTGTTTAACCATGTTTCTCTGTCGTCGATGCTTCACTCCCACAGGACCTGCCGTCCACCATTCAGCCCAAAGGTCGACAGGTGAATAACAGTCACTCACTCACCTGTACTCACTAGCTCCTTACACAACGCTTGCATCCCTTCCCTTTATACACAAGTGTGTGTCTCGACTTCCCCTCTTTGTTCTGCTTCACAAAACTCATCAGTGTAATTTGGATTAATTCATAAGATAGCTGTTTTTTTAGTCTGGCTGTGCGGCCGACGTCTGACCTCTTTTTAAACTGTTAAAAAAAAAGATTTTGAATTCTGGGCCTGCACCAAATTTTTATACTTTATCCCAAAATGGTCTGCAGCTGTTGAGCTGTTAGCAGACCAAAGAGAGGAGCAGACAGAATGCATCTGGATTCAAATTAAACTTTGTTATGAGGGTGTTTTGGGAAATTATATTTTATTGATTTAGAGAACACAATGCTTCCTTCAAATGCACGAGGAGAACAGTCAGAGCGGCATTAATGCAGATGCATCGGTCTGTCTGTGAACATCCAGCTGGTGAAGGAAGACGAGAGGTCTCAGACCAGTTGTGTCACTGACAACACACACACACACACACATCTGTGTGATCCTTCTCTCCTCACCTGTACGCTTTAACAAACACACCTCCACAGACAAAACAGAAATCACACTGCAGTGGTCACTTGATGTTGGACATCTACAGAGTGCATGAAGATGTCCCGCACCAGTCCTGTGATTAGTTGCTTGGTCCTAGAGGTCTTCATAGGTCTTCATAATTTGGACCCAGTGTGAAACAGACCTGCAAATTTTCAAAAACAGAGACCTGATCCAGAACGGATCCGAGCAGAGTTAGAACCAGTCTGATATAGAACTATTGACGATCCAAAACACAAGTAGGGTGTGCCGTGTGATCCGAGTTTGTGGAACGTATACTTTGGTGGGACCTCCCAGCTCCACCCTCAGAAATGGTCATTTCTAGCTCCAAAAAAACCAAGATGGCGACAGCTGAAATGCTGAACTTAAGGCTTCAGATCGGTAGTTTACATGCCAATGGGTGACCCCAACGGTGGCTACGTTCACTTCTTTGTTACAATCTATCACAAATACTCATATTTCAGCAGCTGGTAGCAGAGGATGTTTGACTTTAGAAGTGTAGCAATAATTTGATTACCACCGTGGGAGATTTAAAACATAGTTGTTAGCAGTTAGCAGCTAACTCAAAAAAGAAGAACACTGGCTGTAAATGAGACAATGACAAGCTAAAAATAGATCTTTATAATAAAAACTAAGACGAAATCAATGTTTCGTTTTTGTTGACGAGTCGAGATGAGGTGAGACAACAACGTTCATGGTGGACTATCGGACATTGAAAGCCGAGAATGGCCGTGCTTGTAATTACCCTCGAATGCTGCATGAGCAACAGGCTGGTGAACTCCAGCAATTAGTCGGTGCCAGGATGTTTGGCTAGCCAGCAGTGTCAGCCATTGGTGCGAGTTGTGAGCTGTAAATCAGCAGTTGATAATCAGCTGTGGATGCTCCAACATCTTGTCCAAATATGGTCACTTTTAGCCCCAAAAAACCAAGATGACAACAGCTGAGATGCCAAACTTGAAGCTTCAAATTGCTAGTTTACATACGAGTGGGTGACGTCAGCGGTGACTACGTGCACTTTCTTTTTACAGTCTATTGCAAATACTTGGCAGCTGTTATCAGAGGATGTTTGGCTTTAAAAGTGTAGCAATAATTTGATTATAAAAATAGTTGATGATTAATTTTTTAACATATATTCAGGTATTAGATTTACTGCGATAGAATGTGACCCTATTATAACTGATTTGTTCCCAGTCAGACTCATTTCTCAAGTCAGGTCTCTGCTACTATAAACTCAGAGCACCTATGAAGACCTCTACTCAGTTTTCTTTCACTGGCGTTAAGCTAATACACTAAATCAATATAAGTGACCAATTTAGTGTCATCAGCCCGACAGTGCAGCACTTCACTCCCTTCACTTATATCTGTATGTGTGGTAATAATGGCACAGGCATTGTAGAGCCCTGCAGAGATCCACAGATCACCCTAAACACTGATCCCGCGTCAGACATGAACTCATGAGCAACCTCAAGCCAACTGAAGCTTTGTGTCCACATAACAATCCTCCATAATTGTCACCTCACCCCATCTCAGTGTCTTTATGTGTCAGTAATCCAACATGACTCACCCCAACATGACTCACCCCAACATCACACCATCTCTTTTAACGTGGCATCAAAGGATCTTGTGACGGATGCTGCCAGCAGGGGGCGGTAGAGTCCACAACAGACCACCTGACACCACAGAGCTTGATCTCAGCACCATTAAAGTGACTCAGAGTTTATAATCTGTCTGACGGGAGGCAAATATTTAGAAAGTGTTACGAGGGTAAGACTGCGCTCTGTCGCTCCTAAAGAGGAGTTGTACCTCCTTGTCCTGTCTCACCACCATCATCAACCCCCCCCAACCTTTGTCCCCACCACCAACCCTGGCCGCCATGCTGTTGTTTAGACATTGCATAGCCGTTTTGCTGCATGATGTGTGTGATGCTTTCAAATCCTAGATTGTATCCAGACCTCCAATCAAGGACAAAATGTCTGTGAAGGTAAGAGACAGCCTCTCCCACCCCCCTAAAAAAGAAACCAAAAAACCCCTCTACACTTTAGTCCTGACACTTGAACCAGCTGACTCTCACACAGCCTGTAAATCAGCGACAAACGGCTGTGTGGTTAAAAATGGAATAAAGAAGGATAATGACTGTTGTTTTGAACTAATGGACACATAAACAATGCCTGTGCCGAAATTACCAGCGTGTTGAGAGGCTCATTAAAAGCCCAGCAGTGTCTGGGTTTATCTCACTGGAGGAAGCCCTTCTTTGGAAACACGTTTCCAACCTGGCAACCACAGCACCACCCTCCCACCCCCGCCAAAAGACCACTGCTCATTACTTCACTTCTAGCTGCCACAATATGCCAAAGTCTACCATCCAGCCACTCTTATCTTCCTCTCTATCCCCACGCATCACTCACTTCTTTCAGTTGACACACCACTGCCCATTTTGGAAATCCCAACACCACCACCCCTCTCCATGCCTCAGCTCACTCGTTTGACATCAGTGCCTTTCCTCACAGATCTACGTGAGGGCTCAGTTTGAATACGACCCCTCCAAAGATGAACTCATCCCCTGCAAGGAGGCCGGCATTCGCTTCCAGGTGGGCGACATCATCCAGATCATCTCCAAGGACGACCACAACTGGTGGCAGGGCAAGCTGGAGAACACGAAAAACGGCACGGCGGGTCTCATCCCGTCGCCAGAGCTGCAGGAGTGGTGAGAGGAAAAAACACACACATAGGCATTCGTCCCTTAGTGAAGTAGATTTATCTTTAACATGTCCAGGCGCAAAAGTCACTTCCTGGGTGAAACGACATTAATTTACTGTTTTCAATATGGCTGGAGTGCAGAATTCAGACAGACGACAGTTTGTATCATATTTTTATGACATATTATGACTTTTATATGATGTTTTTTCTGACATATTTTATTACTTTTATGCCGAGCTGAGAGGCACCACAGTGGCACTGTGTCCACAGTTGAGAGACGCCTCCCTCGACTTGCTGTCAACCAAGTGTGCATGGTTTGTTGACAGCAGCTCAGCAGCCTTAAAGCTGTTTTTGGTGAAACACCACAGTCTACTTCTTTGTATTTTTATTCATTTTATGAAATTACTTTCGGGAAGGAGGTTACAATTTTGTCCTTTTTGAAATCAGAGAAACCAAAATACACTCTTTACTTAGTCGAGGGAGTCTCTTAACTGCCACTTTGGTTCCACTCAGCTCAGCAGCTACGTGACGTTGCCACTCACTGCCACTGTCAGTAACCGCACTCACTGTCTCTCAGCTTGTTCTCTCCCCTCTCCAGTTAACTCTTTTTGTAGCTTAGCTCTCCTCAAAATGTATTTTTAGATCGGCAAGAGCACGTCAAAATTCTCTAGGTTGGTGCTCAGTTTCTTTACCGAGGGCAGAGGTGTCCAAACTACACTGCCTGGCCAAAAAAAAAGTCGCCACCTGGATTTAACTAAGCAAATAGGTACGAGCCTCCTATTGGATAATTACTGCATGGGCGATTATCTTTCAGCTGGCAACAAGTTATTTAACCCCAACTGGTGCAATGAGTTGCTTCTCATTTCCTAAACAACCATGTCGAAAGACACATCCCGTGGTCGTGGAAAAGATGTTAGTCTGTTTGAGAAGGGTCAAATCATTGGCATGCATCAAGCAGAGAAAACATCTAAGGAGATTGCAGAAACTACTAAAATTGGGTTAAGAACTGTCCAACGCATTATTAAAAACTGGAAGGATAGTGGGGACCCATCGTCTTCGAGGAAGAAATGTGGCCGGAAAAAAATCCTCAATGATCGTGATCAGCAATCACTTAAACGTTTGGTGAGATCAAATCGAAGAAAAACAACAGTAGAACTCAGGGCTATGTTTAATAGTGAAAGTAAGAGCATTTCCACACGCACAATGCGAAGGGAACTCAAGGGATTGGGACTGAACAGCTGTGTAGCCTTAAGAAAACCACTAATCAGTGAGGCTAACCGGAAAAAAAGGCTTCAATTTGCTAGGGAGCATAAAGATTGGACTCTGGAGCAATGGAAGAAGGTCATGTGGTCTGATGAGTCCAGATTTACCCTGTTCCAGAGTGATGGGCGCATCAGGGTAAGAAGAGAGGCAGATGAAGTGATGCACCCATCATGCCTAGTGCCTACTGTACAAGCCTGTGGGGGCAGTGTTATGATCTGGGGTTGCTGCAGTTGGTCAGGTCTAGGTTCAGCAACAGTATGTGCTCAAAGAATGAGGTCAGCTGACTACCTGAATATACTGAATGACCAGGTTATTCCATCAATGGATTTTTTCTTCCCTGATGGCACGGGCATATTCCAAGATGACAATGCCAGGATTCATCGGGCTCAAATTGTGAAAGACTGGTTCAGGGAGCATGAGACATCATTTTCACACATGGATTGGCCACCACAGAGTCCAGACCTTAACCCCATTGAGAATCTTTGGGATGTGCTGGAGAAGGCTTTGCGCAGTGGTCAGACTCTACCATCATCAATGCAAGATCTTGGTGAAAAATTAATGCAACACTGGATGGAAATAAATCTTGCGACATTGCAGAAGCTTATCGAAACAATGCCACAGCAAATGCGTGCCGTAATCAAAGCTAAAGGCGGTCCAACGAAATATCAGAGTGTATGACCTTTTTTTTTGGTGGTGACTTTTTTTTTGGCCAGGCAGTGTATTTTTGAAGTTAAAAAAAAAATCACATATAAATGACTTCTTTCCACTGCTCCTGAGAGTGGTGACCCTCGCTCTTCACTGTGTGCTTCTTTGTTGTGGCCATGTCTGCTGCTACCCACTCCTTCTACCCTCACTCGTGAACAAGACCCTGAAACACTTGAACTCCCTCACTTTAGGCAGTAACTGGTCCATCTTTGTCCCAACCCTCACCTATGGTCATGAGCAGAGTTTCCCCCGCGAGGTGTCTGGGCTCAGCCTTAGAGATAGAGGGAGGAGCTCAGACATCTGGAGGGAGCTCGGAGTAGAGCCGCTGCTCCTTTGTGTCGAAAGGGGTCAGTTGAGGTGGTTCAGCATCTGATCAGGATCCTCCTGGGCGCCTCCTGTTAGAGGCGTTCTGGGCACGTCCCACTGGTAGGAGGCCCCGGGGCAGAACACACTGGAGGGATTACATATCTCATCTGGTCTGGGAACTCCTCAGGATCCTCCAGGAGGAGCTGGAAAGTGTTGCTGGGAAGAGAAATGTCTGGGTTGCTTTGCTCAGCCTGCTGGCCCCGCAACCTTTCCCCAGATAAGCAGATGAAAATGGATGGATGTTTTCCATCTGTTACTGAAAACACATTACTTCTGCTTTGATGCTGCAAATCGTATGATTGTCCTGCTGTTATAAGGTTTAAAAAATGCAAAGTGATCTTGCTTGATGAACCAATATTGTGTAAATCATAAAGTATATTTTGAAAGACAAGCTGAGGGCTGTTTAGACTCTGTCTGCAGGCAACAGTTCTCCAGGCCAGACTTTGGATACGACTGACCTAGGGCATTACACAGCTGCTAACGCCAGCTAGCTGATGTCACCTACTTGTCAGACAAGTTGGGTGGCCCCTGGCAGACGCAGCAGAACATTATCCCTTCCTGTTTGTTGTAACGCACCCAGTCAAATTCATCGCTCCAGCTGTCTGCGAGTAATGAGTGGCACATTACATGAAGACACGCAGTACCTTTTTTTTTTTGTGTATGACTTTTAACTTGTCCGGTGGGGCAAGTATATTTATTTTCACTTGTCCTGGACAAGCAGACAAGCCTTAAAGTTGATCCCTGGGTAAAAAGTCAAGGTTACAGAGCAACTATTCCCTCATATCTAGAGTCCCTCTGCTCAACACTAAACTAACACTGACTGTCTGTGTGTCTGTGGCAGGCGGGTGGCGTGTATAGCCATGGAGAAGACCAAGCAGGAGCAGCAGGCCAGCTGCACCTGGTTTGGCAAGAAGAAGAAACAGTACAAAGACAAGTATTTGGCAAAGCACAACGCAGGTACAGCATGCACACACACACACACACACACACACATACACATTCATAATCACATGCATGTGCACACAGAGCAACATGCTGCAGACATTCCAGTGCATGCATGCATGCATGAATGTGTGGGCTGGTGAGTGTGTGTCTGTGCGTGTGTCTGTAGGTGGGACTGGTGTGTAACAGGATCTGGTCACTTTCATCTCCAGTAGCAGAGTCACGGCCAGGAACGACAGTCAAAGCTGCCAGTGAGGCAGAAATCTTATACGAGCACAGAGGCGATTTAGAGAAACGTGGGCCGCTCGTTAACACAGACGGCAAATCTCTGCATTCAGACATCGTTTAAAATCACGTGCATGTGTGCTAAAGTATCTCATTATTTGTGTCTTCAGTGAACACGTGGTATCAAATACAGTATCAGACACAGTTTATGTTTAGCGGCATCTGGGCATCGATGTAGCACATACTGTAGATGCACCTCTCAAATATCACAGCCATGTGTCTGGCTGTGTGACCAGGCCAGTGTTGTGGGGCAAAAACTCATCACGTGTGTTTGAGACTCGAGCTGTGACTGTTGAGTTAACACAGGAGACAGGAAGGGGCGGGGGAGGAGTGAGAGTTAAGTGCTGAGACAGAGCAAGTTTTTCTTTACTGTTAGTTTTGACGCCAAATAGATTTTGTAGAGGTGCAAAAAGCTGCGGCTTCAGCCTTCACCTTGTTGTGTCTGTTGTTGTATAAATGTGTTGTATTCTTATCTGATGACTGGCTGGGAATGATTGCCTTGAAATGTTTCGCCAAATTGTTTGTGCATAATTACTGTCAGCACAACATTTTGAGACAGGCGATGAGAGAGGAACAAAAAAAATCACAACCCAATCACTTAAAAAAATGTTAATGTTGGCAATTATGTCATTATGTTGCAGATATGTTTCAACAACATGGTGGTTAACGTCATTAGATTTAGGCACCAAAATCACTTGGTTAAGACCGTTTCGGTGTTTGCAATGTATTGTGGGACCCCTGGGGGAGGATCCAGATCTCAGTGTGGGAACCACCAGAACAAGTTATTGGAGACTTTAGTGTGAAGGGTTGAGGGAGGAGATGAAACACGTGTGTGTACTCAGAGCAGCTTCACACCTTCTGTACAGTATGTGCACCGAGCACCAGGTGTGTATGGTCGCACGTGCACTTGTCAGCATACGTCGTGTCTATATCAGGAGCAAAATCTATACATTACCTTCCAAATGAGCCCAGTGAGGAGGAGCAGAGATTTAAAGTCACACTGCAGCTGGGACCAGAGCCAGGGGGAGAAACGCCCCTTCAGCTCAGCACCTGTAGAGACAAACCAGCTCCCAACAGACTGAGCGCAGAGAGGAGAAGAGTTCTGGGTGACAAGTTATATGTCGCATCAGTGGCGGCTGCTGGTCTTTCAAACAGGGGAAGCTCACTTTAAGTTTACATCATAAACTTTGTCATATTGTAGCGAGGCAGTAACTTACACAAGGAACATTTAATTGAAGCCGTTTTTGAACCACACTCATGCCACAGAACCACAGCAACACACACCTCAAAGATTTTCAGATGGGTTTGAAAATGAGCTGTAGCGCTTATGGAAATAAGGAACTCCGGACGACACTCGCAAATATCCGCATGGGACTGAGCTCGAAATGCGAAGCGCTGTCAATCACAAAGGGGTTCAGCCTTTTAGACAATTCCTCCAATCATCATGCAGACACCAAGCGTCCTCTCCCGCCTACCGCTCCATCAGGTCCCCGGGAAGCTGAGCCTCCCTGGAAGTGACGATTTTGTCGCATTTATCCAATGACCATCTCGCTTTGCTGCATGAAAAAACCCTGCTCAGCGCTGTCTCATAGGAATGCTTGGAGGCTCCGCGTCCACCGTGCTGACACGAGAATGTATGACAGGGGAGGTCGCGTTTGAAAACTGGTGATAAACAGCTGATGTTTGAACGTCATACTCATGATGTTAAACTCATCCTAGCGCACGTTTAATGCAATGTAAATTCTTATTTTCTATAAATTTATAGTGCATATTTGACAATTTCTTCTATGAAATTTTAGAGGAAGTTCAGCCTCCCTTGTTGTCTCAGAGCAATCGCCCCTGCGTCACATGTTCTTCTCACAAGATGATTGGATGATATTTTTGTGTGCAGTATGTTTGGGTGTGTGTGCATCTGAGTATCCATTTGAAAAGCATGTCTGTCAGACCGTCCATGGACACCTTTGCTGACTCACGTCCAGTTAAAAGGAACTGTCTTTATATTTTAAAGCATGCACCTCACAACATTATAGTTATATAGCTATAAAAGCATGAACGCATGGAGTCGCCTGCATTTATTCATTACTGTTTAAACTGAAGACAATGACTTCCTTCATCCCCCATTTTATCGTCAACAGTTCATGTTTAACTCTTGAATCTCATGGTGTCATTCAGTGTCCATCAGTGCTAACTAAGGGTTGAACACAGGGCATCGAGAGTCTGGTATTTCCAGTTCTCATCAAAATCTATTTCCTACACCCAAGAAAAAATAGCTGTGAGATCCAAGGATTTAACTGTTGTACTCACCGAAACAAAAACACCTTCTACAAAACACATCTGCGCCACCACTAAATGTCATAGCCAAATAACTCCAGCCTCACGTTATTGCAGTGGTGATTACTTTAATGCTAAAACAGCAGCTGTGAGGCAAAATATTTTTCAGACTAAGTGTGAATGAAGTAGAAACTACGCAGGTGATCCAACAAGATTTAATCAAACAGGCCTCCATCCCTGAATCAGAGTGCAGAGCAGCATCAGGTGCATAAGATATTAACATTAGTGCTGAACATCTCAGAGCAACACTTTCAAACAACAAACTCTAATGGCTGCATACAACAGCTTTTCCTTCACTGCACTCAGTGTTAACCAGGACCAGGTGTCAAACCTCAATACTGCAGAGTACCGACCCAAATGTTCCTACATTAGACGTGTTTACTTACTTTATAATCAAATTATAGTTTCTGATCTGAGTCAGAAAACATTTTACTTTATTTAATCTATGGCAGATTTCTTTATTAAACACTGATGTAATGAGCAGTTTTTGCATAATTTGAGTACTGAAAAATAAGATGTATTGTATAAATGTATAAATAAGATTATGTTCCCCGGGCGCATTAGCTATTGTTTTGGTATCGATACAGAAATTCACATTTCATGTTAGCTTTTTAATCTAAAATGTTCAGATGGTAAACAGCTCAGGTAATAAGCTCAGTTCATCACTGTTACCTTACAGCCGTTAAAGAATACTTCACCCACAAAATGATGATTTGTATACGTTGAATTCATTAAGAAAACTTTGTTTTTCTTGCATGCCTCCACAGCGAACAAAGAATCCAAAACAATGCGAACATTGTTGATGAATTGAAGAAAAAGGGGGACTGTGTTAAACAACAGCAAAACTAAATCAAAACATCAGTTTGCTATGAATAACAGGCCCTGAGCATGTGTACGTATGACCTCTGCTTGAGCAGAGTTCAAACACAGGCGCACACCCAGACAGGCACCTCGTCCGTGTAACTGCATGTTTTAAACTGTAATAATTCAGCAGAAATACTTTGTGAAGTACTGAGCGTACGACTGGACGAATGAGGCTTAGATTATACTGCACGAGCTGTGTGAGACTTTGCAAACAGAAGTTTTATGTAGTTTTGCCGTTGTTAAATACCATTTGCTTTAATTCAGTCAATGAAACAATCAGTCAAACAATGTTTGCCTTTTTTTGGATTCTTCGTTCACCGTGTTGGTGTGTGGAAAAAAGACTTAAGCTCCCAACAACTGTCGTTATTGTTTCCACCTCAAAGATTAAATCTTACTATGTGTTGGAACGAAAACCATCAAATTACAAAATTGTAATAAACACAAATTTCAGATTAATTATTTGCTGTTTAAAGTCGATCTCAAATTCACAGCACAAATCCTGGTTCTCCCTCTCCGGCCCTGACTGATCCCAGTGTGTCTGAGACTCTGCAGTGCTGCTGGTGTTTGTCATCACCATCAGCAGATCCTCTGCAGAGTCCGCACCACGTCTCACACAGTGACGTTTCACCAGTCGGTGTGATTTTACCCTTCAGCAGCAGCAACAACAACAGCACACTGTGTATTTCCATCTCCATTGTTGGCGCTGTGCTGCACAGCTGCCCAGCTGTTGTATCTTGCTGTTTGTGTGTAACATTTTGTAATTCTGCTGTTGTAACCGAACCATGTTATGACCCCTCCTGTTCATCTCTCTCGCTTTCTCCTACTGAACGGCCTCTGTGCATGTAAGTAACAACCAGTGACAGCAACCAGCTCCTCCTCTCTCTTCTTCTTCTTCTTCTTCTCTCTGTTTATTTGATTAACCCTGTAGATTAAATCAGCTGTCACTGCCACTGCTTCAGTTTTGCTTCTGTTGATTGGATCATAAAACAACAGAAGGCTGAGACAAAACTGAAACATGTAGTTTAGTGTGTGTGTGTGTGTGTGTGTGTTTCAGACACTGTGTGCTGTGATGTTCATCTTAACCCATTTTTAATCCACGTTTGGTTGAATGTGCTCATCAGCAGAGCCAGACGACAGTAAACAGTCTCTGGCATTAACTAACATACTCAGTCGATACAGTTTCTTCCCTCACTCTGTGCAGCTTCAAACAATTCTCACCGTCGGTCTGCAGCCGCCTGTTGCATCAGAGAACCCAGTGACTGGTGGGTATTGTATTTCCCCAGTCAGCGCCCTGAGATGGTGGCTGTGCGGAGGCTCATGTTACAGAGGCTGAGAACACATTGTACAGTGAGCAGCTCTGCTCCAACATGTGATACACTCTGCACAACAGACAACCTGCAATTACCCTCATTTTTTCTGCTCTGTGTTTTGTCACGCAGAGAAATGTTTAGAGGGTCGTACCAGGCGTTCACTGAAATTACTGTTTCTGTTGAAAAACACACCATATAATGTTCAGTTACTAAAGTTAGGTTCAAAGAAATCTGTGCACAGTTGCATAAAGCTTTTGATGAAGTCAGTAAATGAAAGTAACCTTGTGCTTTTTTTTGAAGGAAATAGTTGCACAAACTTAACTTAAATCAAGTCCTTATGAAAAGTCTTAATCAATGAGGTAGAATTAAAAATAAGTGGATTATTTTTCTAGCAGAAAATGTTTGGCTCCAGCTTTTCGAATATGAAAATTTGATGCTTTTCGTGTTCACGTATGAAAGTAAACTGAATGATTGCTGGATAAAACAATCAATTTTAATTTGATGCCTTGAGCTCTGGCTAATAATTAAGAATATTTAATAATAATAATTAATCAAAGCCAAAGCTGGGATATTCAAATTGCTTGTTTGATCCATAGACTGTACAAATAATGGACGCAGCAACCGTGATGTCACGCGTGGGTTTGTGGACTCCTGTTTTAAAGTCTTGACCATATTGGATGAAAGGGTGGAGCTAACCCTAACACTAGTTGTTAGCTTGGTTAGCATGGTGCTAATAATGCTAGTTTTCAACAGAAAAACGATGAAAACCAATAAAGCAAAATCACTCACTACAAAAACAGAATATCCGACTCCTTAGAGAGTTTTTTGATACTATCAAATGCTAAAAAGAACTTTTTTAGTTGACCAAAATGCCATTTATTACCTGAAAACACACTGTAAAAAGTGACTATTGCAGCTACTATTTGTGGCGCCAGATGTTTTAATCATGGCATGCCGCATTTCTATTTTTGCACCTGGACTGTTCATTAGGAGCGCTGCTGGATTATATATTATGTTCAGTTATTTGTAGCACCACACTGTCGAAGCACTGAGCGTACTCGGGGCAGAGATGGAGCAGCGGAACAACAGATGCATTGAAAGTGAAACTTAACGGTTCATTCTGCTGGGTCGAAAAGTTTGATCTGATCTGATCAGCTCTGAACTGCTTTAAGTGACAGATGTTTGCTGTCCGTCGACATGTCGCTACTACGGCAAATATGTTGGTTAGGTAACACAAACATGGTATAACTCCAGATGCACACAGTATACGTGTAGCTGCATCTATTTCAGTGTGTTTTCAGGTCATGAAAGGCATTTAGTTCGCCTAAAAAAAGTCCTTTTTCAGCATTTGGTTGTATCAAAAAACCCTCCAACGAGACGAATATTCAGTGTTTGCAGTAAGTGAATTTTGTTTTAATGAAATGAATGTGTGGGAAACCTTGAATTTGATTTATTATCATAGAAGACAAAGAAAAAAGCTGCAAATATTCACATTTAGAAGCTGGAACCAGATCATTTTTAGCATTTTTCAACCAAAAAAAACTTAAACGCAAACTGAGTTGTTGCTTATTGAGGAATCAGTTGACTTATATTTTTAGTACTGTTTCAAACTAGAAGACACTTTTCCATTAGATTTAATCAGCTGGTCAGACACGTGAGGTCTCTTCCTCCAGCTCTGCTCATTTTTCTGTCTTTATCACAAAGTAGTTTTTGTCACAACTCTATGAAGACATCACTGAGGTTTGGATAACAAGCTAAATTCAATTTACAGCAGTGTCATCCCCATGGAAACTTTCTGTAGTCCTGCTAGACTTCAGAAATCAGAAATCTTCTTCACTTCATCAGTCAAGAGAAGCTGTTTCTTGTAGCAGTCTTTATGCAACCAGGCACAGATGAACACAGCAGCAGTAATTATACTTTCATTATCCTGATTAAATATATTTTGTTTTCTAGCATGAGCTCTTCCCATGATCCCTTCTCTCACTGGAGGAATTTCTGATGGGATATTATTTTAAAAGACTCATCATCACTCCACAGATCATCTCAGCTCTCCAGTCGTCTTTTCCACTCACTGTTTCAACATTAGGCTTGTTGCCAGAGAGATTTTTAATCTGCTTTGTTTTGACAAATGTCCCAACTTCCTCTTCTCTTCACCACATAGTCACCAGATGTGTTTAAGACGCTTTAGTACGCCTTGTTCCCCTCACTCTAACTGCTGTGTGTCCCAGAATGCTCCTCTCCACATCCTCTTACTCTGCTTCTCTGTCTCACTTCCAGTGTTCGACCAACTAGATCTCGTCACGTATGAAGAGGTTGTGAAGCTTCCTGCTTTCAAGAGAAAAACACTAGTTTTGTTAGGTGAGTACTGCTGAGTGTAGCAGCAGGAAATCTGAGCGTCTGCCTTTATAACTGACTGTGTGTGTCTTCGTCAGGGGCCCATGGAGTGGGCAGACGACACATTAAGAACACACTCATCACCAAACACCCCGACAGATTCGCCTACCCCATCCCACGTAAGACACATGATCGAGGTCCTCTGCAGCATTTAACAGCACCACTGTGTGTGTCAGTGGATGTGAACGCTCTTTGTCTCCTGGTGTCCCACAGACACAACCAGACCTCCAAAGAAGGACGAGGAGAACGGGAAGAACTACTACTTTGTCTCCCACGACCAGATGATGCAGGACATCAGCAACAACGAGTACCTGGAGTACGGCAGCCACGAGGACGCCATGTACGGGACGCGGCTGGAGACCATCCGGAAGATCCACCAACAGGGACACATAGCTATACTGGACGTCGAACCTCAGGTGTGTGTGAGTGTGTGTGTGTGTGTGTGTGTCATAGACTGTATAATAAATAAATAAAGATGGACAACATGACAGTTCATAGACGTATGATAATATCTAGATACCAGAGAAGTTTTGTTTTAATTTGTTGATTGATGCTATAAAAAGTGGGTTTGACGCCATGATTGACGGCAGTTTGTGCCGGTCGGTGTCCTTACAATTAACGGTGCTGCTCACGATTGGTCAGACAGGGCTATGGGCGGGAATTCAATGTGCAGATATCACTACTGTGCAGACTCTGGCTCCAAATGTTTTGTAAAGTGGGAGGAAGTGGAGACGTGTCAGCCATCTATTTATGCAGCCTGTGGTGTGTGGAGGTGTGTGTGTGCATTCGTGCATATATGAGGACATTTTTATGTCTAACACCTGTTCTCCATCAGGCCCTGAAGGTCCTGCGGACAGCAGAGTTTGCCCCGTATGTCGTCTTTATTGCTGCACCAACTATCACACCAGGCATCAATGAGGTGGGAACACCACACACACACACACACACACACACACACACGATACATGTTAGAGGGTAAGGGTGTTGATATTCTACATGTTTATTATTGTTCACAAAATCTCGTGAAAAGACCCAAAACAACACTGAATGTATCCAAAGCCTGATTTATCTTCTGCCTCTGTGCCTCAGAGCTCCACTGCTGCCCACAAATAGAAACACATCAGTGAATCACATTCCTACATCACCATGAACACACACACTGTAGTTTATTTTGACTCAATCCCACACACACCGTCCTGTTGCCTCAAATACTCACTACAGCACTGAATCAGGATCAATCCGCTGCTGAAAATAGTCCCCAACAAATGCACATCTGAGCAATATTTACAAAAGAAGAAATTGAAAAAGCCACAGTGCCCAGCTGCTCAATGAACTTATTGAGCCTTTTTAAAAATAAAACTTTATTGTGACCCACTATATAAGTCCTGTTAAGTAAAAATAAATGTGTGTAATGAGTCACACTGCAGAATAATGTGTTGTTAACCACCCAGATTTAGATAGTTTTAAAATTGCACACCTGTTTCTAAGACTGTCGAGTCAAAATGCGGAGGTTTATCTGTGAATCAATGGAAGAGTTTTAACACCCCAAATATTCAGTTTACTGTCTTGTATGAAAAACAACAGGAACAAATCAAATCCTCACAAATAATGATGGTGAAACCAGAAAATATTTCATTTTTACTTTAAAAAAAAATGACTCAAACAATTAGTTGTTATATGTCTGACCCATTTACAGTGACACATTTTACATCATCAGTTGTTCTGAACCTGTCTGCTGGTTTTCTAAACTCTGATTCACTGACAGATTTTGTGTTGGTTAAAATCTGCAGAGTCAGTATGTGAAGCACTGTCACCATCACACAGTGTGTTCAGTGTGTGTGTGTGTGTGTGTGTGTGTGTGTGTGCTAGCAGCCTCTCATTCTCATCTGTTTGCCTCTCATTCCTCTCTGCACTCGTTTATTTTTGCATGCTGCATGCGTTTTGTTTCTTTGGCGCTCCCCTCAGATGCCCAGGTGGTGTCGAACGCTGCCAGTAAGTAAAGCCTGACAGGACAGTGACTACACACTGTTATTTTTAATTGTGTGTGTGTGTGTGTGTGTGTGTGTGTGTTCCTTGCCATATGCTTCTAGTGGAAAGTGCCGCCTTCTGTGTTTCCCATTCACTTCCTCTTCTGCTGAGTAAAGGCCCCGACACACACTGTGCTGTAACAGCCGTGTCATAGGCCCCTAATGTCTCTGTCCATTTTCTGTCTGTCTCTATTCAATTTACAATTCAATAAACTTTACTGGCATGACATTTAATGTGTTGCTAAAGCACAGTTACGATTTAAAACAGTGATTTCAATTAATTCCAGTGGAATATAAAAGGTAATGAAATTATTAAAGAAACAACAATGTATTCGTTTTCATCAAACACTTTCAGTACAGTCCCTTTGGAACCAGCAGTAACCCTTCAGACATGGTACCTAGACCCTCGGTGTGTTCAGACAGTTCTCTTAAATGTGGGCGGGGTTGTTGTCACTCACTGCTCCGTCCAGCACTCGCTGTATTTCCTCATCAGCGGTGACACAGATGGAAGTCTGCACCTGGTTTATCGTCCACAGAACGAGTCTGCACGCCCACATTTTCATAACAAAATAGAACAGGCTGCAGTGAGAGTCTCTCTCCATGGGATATTTAAAAATAGCAGCTTTGTGCATTTAGTCCTTCTCAGGCAAGCTCAGGGGTTTAGTGTTGCTGTAGCCCACAGGAACGACGCTCTGTGATGTTTTTTTTTTTTTTTGTTCTACAAGTGAGGATTAGAATATACGCACATAACACGTGAACGGTATGAACAACTTTTACAGTGGGAACGGGGCTTTAGGGTACCTAACACACCAGATCTGTGTGCTAGGTACCCTAAAGCCCCGTTCCCACTGTAAAAGTTGTGGATGGTACCAATAGAACCGTTCCTTAGCGTCCCCATGTTTGGTCCCCCCTCCTCTGTTGGGGTACCTAGCACACAGATCTGGTACTAAAAGGTGGAGCTGTGAACGCTGCAGTCTGATTGGTCAGTAGAGGACGGTCACTCTGCTCAGGGCTGAGTTGTGTCTGGTTTTGAGGCTCATGTAACCACTGTTCATACTGTGGAGAGTTTTATTAGTAAATTGTAACTATAAAATGCCTGAGAAGAACTAAATGCACAAAGCTGCTGTTTTTAAATATCCCATGGAGAGAGACTCTCACTGCAGCCTGCCTGTGTCGGCCAGTCTGTATGTCCAGAGTGTGATCACTGAGTTTGTACATGGTATCTTTCTCAGTTTCTGATCTGTCTCTCTGCTCGCAAAGTTCTCATCATGTTTCTCTCAGTTTTCTGTTCTTGTCTCAGACAGCTCGATCACACAGTGTGTAGGGGCCTGTAGGATTTCTCTTTCAGTCCTGTATGTGCTCTCTTCTCTCCATCACCCTCTCTGCCTTCATCGATGTCTAACACCCTCTGTTACTCCTCCTCCTCCTCCTCCTCCTCCTCCTCCAGGACGAGTCTCTCCAGCGGCTGCAGAAGGAGTCTGAGATCCTGCAGAAGACCTACGCTCACTACTTCGACCAGACCATCATCAACAACGAGATTGACGAGACCATCAGGCACCTGGAGGAGGCCATTGACCTGGTGTGCACCACCAGCCAGTGGGTCCCCGTGTCCTGGGTCTACTGACCTGCAACCCTGACTGATACCACCTACACCTACACCTACACCTCCTCCTCCCCTCCCAGCAACAACACCTCAGCCAAACTCCCATCATCCCCTCTTCAGAATAAGAAATTTAAAAAAAAAAAACGATTAACAAAAAACCGACGGGAAACCTCTCTCTACACTGCACTTGATTGAGAACCCCCCTCAGCGTACTGTGAAAGCGACCACAGCATTCAACCGAACTCCTCCTGAACGCTGCACCAACAACCTGCGGCAGCCGATTATCGGACTCTTGCCCTGACAGACGACCTAGTCATAGTGATGTATAAAAACAAGAGTTTAAACAAAAGTGAATATTGTCATGTCTGTACTAGCTAGGAGGCAACATTTTTGTAGATGTTTGTTTTAAAGAGACAGTACTGTGTCCCGTCCTCCCATCGCATTGTAGTCCTGTTGGGTGTTGTAGTACTAAACCATCTGTAGAAAGACACTGTCAGTGGGTATTCTGTCTGTCGGCAGACTGAAGTAAAAGCACACAAACACACTGCAATGTCTTCTCACCTATAGATCATGTCACCGGCCCTCCTTATTTATTCATTCTTGTTCTTTTCTGAGCTGTAACGCTGGGTTACATCCTCCCATCATCCTGTTGTCAGCCCTCGGTACAGCTACTTTATCTCACACCTTTCTACCTTCCTACCTGCCAGGTACTGTCTCTTCTAAATAAATCCATAAATAATGTTTTAGAGATTTGAATGAGGTTATCATGCATGTGGACATTTGCAAGCTTCCATGCTGTCAGTCAGTCAGTGTTCCCCGTGTCCCTCTGTAAACCTCTGAGAAAGAAAAGAAGACAAAAATATATACCTTAAAAAAACATTCCAGCTGTTTGGAAGACTGAACTCAGCCGAGGGAAGCAAGAGGGGCAAGAAAAAACTAACAGCGACGGAGCCGGACGTTGACTTGACACCTATGCACATCCCTTGCATTTCGGGTGACATTTCTAAACCACAGATTTATAAAAAAAAATAATAATAATAATAATGATGATGATAATGATGATGATTGACCATGTAGTGAGATGTGTTTGTAAAAAAAATCTAATAAAAGTCGATTTTTCTCTTTTTGATTTGTCATACACAAGAAAAGGAAGAATTCCACCTTATTCCTCATTTGCCATTTCAGAGATGTGATGTCCAAGAGTATTAATGTTTCAATCAAGTTTAAAAATCAACGAGAGATGAAATGCTGATTTTTATTCTGAAACTGTGTAACTGTCTACAAAGGAAGTGTACACTATACATTCTGCAAAGGTGACGACTTTGCGAGGGAAGAGGAGGCAGCGTGTGCATCTGATTAACATGTATATGAATATGACAGAATGACATACAAACTGCCCCTTGTGTAAATGACTCTGCAATGATAAAAGCTCTTCAGTATGAACAATTTTTTAAATATATTTCCTTTTATGTGTTGGAAAGTGAACCTTTGAGTGGCTCTCATTTTTTCTTTTCCACTGACACAAACATCTCAGACTGAGCAGAGTATCACAGTATCAAGTCATAGTATAGTATGTAATCAGAAATCTCACAAAAAGTCATAGTATAGTATGTCATTCAAAGTTTAATTAAAAAGTCATAGTTTAATATGTGATCAAAAATATCAGAAAAAAAGTATAGTATGTCATTCAAAATTTTATAGAAACTGCATACTGCAGAATGTCATTCAAAATTTCATTTAAAAAAGTCATGTTTTATAATGTGATCAAAGATCATAAAAAAGTCATAGTATAGTATGTCGTTCAAAATTTCATAAAAAAGTCATAGTATGTCGTTCAAAATTTCAAAAAAAGTCAGTATAGTATGTTGTTCAAAATATAAAAAAGTCATAATATGTCGTTCAGAATATCATCAAAAAGTCATAGCATAGTATGTCGTTCAAAATATAAAAAAAGTCATAGTATCGTATGTCGTTCAAAACATAAAAAAGTCATAGTATAGTATGGCATTCAAAACATAAAAAAGTCATAGTATAGTATGTCGTTCAAATTATCATCAAAAAATCATAGTATAGTATGTGATCAAAAATATCATTGAAAAAGTCATAGTATAGCATGTCGTCCAAAACATCTTAAAAAAGTCATAGTATAGTATGTTGTTCAAAATATCATAAAATAGTCATAGTATAGCATGTTGTTCAAAATATCATAAAAAAGTCATAGTATAGTATGTCGTTCAAAATATAAAAAGTCATAGTATAGCATGTCGTTCAAAATATCATAAAAAAGTCATAGTATAGCATGTCGTTCAAAATATCAAAAAGTCATAGTATAGTATGTGATCAAAAATATCATTGAAAAAGTCATAGTATAGCATGTCGTCTAAAACATCTTAAAAAAGTCATAGTATAGCATGTTGTTCAAAATATCATCAAAAAGTCATAGTATAGTATGTTGTTCAAAATATAAAAAAGTCATAGTATAGCATGTCGTTCAAAACATCATAAAAAAGTCATAGTATAGCATGTTGTTCAAAATATCATAAAAAAGTCATAGTATAGTATGTCGTTCAAAACATCATCAAAAAGTCATAGTATAGCATGTCGTCCAAAACATCTTAAAAAAGTCATAGTATAGCATGTCGTTCAAAACATCATAAAAAAGTCATAGTATAGCATGTCGTTCAAAATATCATCAAAAAGTCATAGTATAGTATGTGATCAAAAATATCATTGAAAAAGTCATAGTATAGCATGTTGTTCAAAATATCATAAAAAAGTCATAGTATCGTATGTCGTTCAAAACATCATAAAAAAGTCATAGTATAGCATGTTGTTCAAAATATCATAAAAAAGTCATAGTATAGCATGTTGTTCAAAATATCATAAAAAAGTCATAGTATAGCATGTTGTTCAAAATATCAAAAAGTCGTATAGTATGTGATCAAAAATATTGAAAAAGTCATAGTATAGCATGTTGTTCAAAATATCATAAAAAAGTCATAGTATCGTATGTCGTTCAAAACATCATAAAAAAGTCATAGCATAGTATGTCATTCAAAATATCATAAAAAAGTCATAGTATAGTATGTGATCAAAAATATCATTGAAAAAGTCATAGTATAGCATGTCGTTCAAAACATCATAAAAAAGTCATAGTATAGTATGTTGTTCAAAATATCATCAAAAAGTCATAGTATAGTATGTCGTCCAAAACATCATCAAAAAGTCATAGTATAGTATGTCGTCCAAAATATCATAAAAAAGTCATAGTATAGTATGTCGTCCAAAATATCATCAAAAAGTCATAGTATAGTATGTCGTCCAAAACATCATCAAAAAGTCATAGTATAGTATGTCGTCCAAAATATCATAAAAAAGTCATAGTATAGTATGTCGTCCAAAACATCATCAAAAAGTCATAGTATAGTATGTCGTCCAAAACATCATCAAAAAGTCATAGTATAGTATGTCGTCCAAAACATCATCAAAAAGTCATAGTATAGTATGTCGTCCAAAACATCATCAAAAAGTCATAGTATAGTATGTCGTCCAAAACATCATCAAAAAGTCATAGTATAGTATGTCGTCCAAAACATCATCAAAAAGTCATAGTATAGTATGTCGTCCAAAACATCATCAAAAAGTCATAGTATAGTATGTCGTCCAAAACATCATCAAAAAGTCATAGTATAGTATGTCGTCCAAAACATCATCAAAAAGTCATAGTATAGTATGTCGTCCAAAACATCATCAAAAAGTCATAGTATAGTATGTCGTCCAAAACATCATCAAAAAGTCATAGTATAGTATGTCGTCCAAAACATCATCAAAAAGTCATAGTATAGTATGTCGTCCAAAACATCATCAAAAAGTCATAGTATAGTATGTCGTTCAAAACATCATAAAAAAGTCATAGTATAGTATGTCGTCCAAAACATCATCAAAAAGTCATAGTATAGTATGTCGTTCAAAACATCATAAAAAAGTCATAGTATAGTATGTCGTCCAAAACATCATAAAAGAGTCATAGTATAGTATGTCGTCCAAAACATCATAAAAAAGTCATAGTATAGCATGTCGTCCAAAATATCATCAAAAAGTCATAGTATAGCATGTCGTTCAAACTATCACCAAAATGTCTTGGTGTACTCCACACAAACGGGCTCCCCCACACTGGGTTCGTAACAGGAACCCTCTTGCTGTGAGGCAACAATGCTAACCATTACAAAAAAAATATTCATAATAATGAATAAGCTTTTTTTTTATAAGGAGGACAACACACAACCACACAGTGAGGCAGAGAGGGCACAGAGGGACGTGGTGACAAAAGCCAAACAGAGTGGAAGAAAATGGATTATTGAGGGCAAACAGGGTCGTTAACTGAATCAAGAACTGCACAGAAAACATGCCAAAGAAATGACACAAAGCAACGTGCAACTAACAAACAAACACAGTCAGATGAACAACATTGTGATATTACTGAACTCAATAATCTCTGTCCCTGTGACTGCATGACTATATTTTGAAGCTGAAATGTTTAATCAAAATCAATCAGTCGACTGACACAAAATGTCACTATTTCGGATAATTATTTTTTTGTCTTTTTTAAATATTTGCTGAGCATTTGCTGCTTTTCTCATTCTTATTACAGCAAATTGAAAATCTTTGGTGTTTGGACTGTTGATTGGAACAAGAAAAAAGAAGAAGAAGAAAGCAATCTGCAAAACAATCAATAAAAAAGTGGCGTTTAAATGGATCCATATCAACAGACCAGCAATCAGAGACAGCATCAACTCAAAAGTCACTCAGATGCCTTGAGGAGAAAATGAAAGTGGTGGCAGCTAAACTTAAATATAAAAAAGTCAGTATTTAAAATCTCCTAGAGTTAATCATATGATGCAAACCATGAAGTGCATATAATTCCCGACATCTCTCCTCTCATTTCCTGTCGTTGTTCTGCTGTAATAAAGGCATTAAATGCACCCAAAAATATTTCTTAAAAATATATTTTTTACCATGAGGAATGTAATGATCTTTTTACACTTTTTTTGCAATGCATCATTTAAATGGAACGAATCAATCTATTAATGGATAAAACAATCCACAAAACAATAATAATGACAATAATCATAATTCACAGTCCTAAAACTGACTTCTAAAATTTTAGAAAATGAAGTCACGCACACTGAATACAAAGTCCTGGTTCAGGTGGATGTGCACTCGGCTGACCTCCGTGTCAAGTGCTGCATTTTGTGATTTCAATCAATCCAAGTGAGTGATTAGAACAAACGGCAGCCTGAACACAGTGTTTTACTGTTGCGTAATCCTGCAGCATTAACATGTGAAAAAAGAGGCAGCGGTGACGGAGGACAGCTGTGTTTCACTTTGCTTTTTATGAAGTATGGTTTTGAAATTCATACGTCACCTCAGCTGGATGGAGACAGGCTAATGTAGATATCACTGTGAAATACTGAAGATAATAAGACTGAGAAATTAATTGTAACATACTATTACACGTTAGGAGAGTTCATTTTTTGAAGTCCCTCTGTGCAGAGTTACCATGTTCTCCCTGTGTCAGTGTGGGTTTCCTCCAGGTGCTCCAGCTTCCTCCCACAGTCCAAAGACATGCAGGTTAATTGGTGACTCTAAATTGTCCGTAGGTGTGAATGTGAGTGTGAATGGTTGTCTGTCTCTATGTGTCAGCCCTGTGATAGTCTGGTGACCTGTCCAGGGTGAACCCTGCCTCTCACCCAGTGTCAGCTGGGATAGGCTCCAGCAAACCCACAACCCCCAACAGGATAAGCGGTTACAGACAATGAACAGGAAATCACCTGTAAAATGAAGCATGACCAGTTTGTCCTACAACACACCTGTGAAACGTAAACCAGTGGCTACATAGACAACAGTGACCTCACTACAGTAGCCCTTCTGTGACACCTCTGTCATTTCAACCAGATGAATTAAATACATCCTGAACGCACTCCCTCCAACGTTCCTGCAGAGGTCCGGGATTAAAACCAGCTGCATTAGATCCAGCTCCCCCAGTTGTCTTAGTCCCAGCCTAATCCCACATTAAAGGGCCAACAGGCCAGCGTGCAGATTAACCGGTGTTCACCGCTGAAACGGGTCGACTCCTCGACCGAGGCTGAAAGGAGTCACTGAGCAGGCACGTCAAAAGTTCAACAGCAATTTCTTAATTTATTTATTTAGAAAAATATATCATGTGACAGAGCAGTTTGTCTAATAATACCACTGAACTGGATCACCGGCTGTCTGAACCAAACTACATAGATTCACCAGGGTAAGACGAAAGCAGTGGCTGGTGTTAGAACAGGGATGATCTTTATCAGCTACACAGAACACATCAGTTTATACAGAGAAACTCTGAAATATGCAGAACATGTTGCAGATTGTGATACACCTGAAAGCTTTCTTATCGCACAGAGAAGTGAAACGCTTTGACACTACTCCCTCCCTCGTCCACA